GGCCAAAACCACCAATAGCAACAACAACAGACAACAATCAGCCAGTGTAAATGGGAGGAACCTGAAGAGAAACAACCTCCTTTACCTAGCTACCACCTACCTGGGAAGCATCGTTTCAACTTATAAGAGGACGGAACTGACGAGGATATCAAAGTAGTGAGGATCGGGAAAGCTGCTGTCAACAGCACTACTCAGCAAGAAAATAATGAAAATAAGATCCGGATTTACAACACCAATGTGAGGTTAATCAGTTTATAATGTAAGAAGAATTCACACTTGGATTATTGTATCCTTTAACACTGGACCCTATGGTAGATCCTACGGAGAAGAGTTTACACAAGATTTTACACGAACTAACATCTTCGTTTGCTTGCAATGAACTTCGCAATATATGTATGTATATATGTGCCCTTAAAAGACACAGATTGTCGGCCGGCCGACCAGAAAAGATCAGCAACAGGGAGGGATCTTTGGCAATGAGCGAACCAACCAACACAGCAGGAACTGATTGTGCAACAAATAAGCAGAAAGAAATGGAGGAGGTGGATAGGATTGTGGCCATCCTCTGAGAAAACAAACCATCAAGTGAGTGACATCACTAGACAAGCCATTGCTCGAGTGGAACCCGAAAGGGAGAACCAAAAAAGTCATTAATCAAAGTGTCAATCAAGTGATATACGATAGGTGTTGACTGGATGATACTGCTGTCATTTTTATAGTAAATGTATTTTCTCTATTATTATGATATTAGCTGCATAAAAAGTCTTTCTAACAGCAGCATTCAGTCTTTATTATTATTGCTGTCATTATTATTCCTTTAGGCTCCGAGAAGAACGTAGAGATTCAACAGGATATATCTCTCTTTCACGCTATTCTCCTCTGCAGTCCTGTAAGCTGGCTCCACAATTAGTTGCCTATCGGCTTTCACGACTGACTCCCCATTATATACTACGGTCTTATCGATGTCACACCATTGAACCACAGCGCAAATCGTCGTTTTTCTAATCCAGTCCCACTCGAGAGCCTTAAGCGTAGCGTGATGTGTTGTTACTCAGCGCGTGTCCGATCCTTCGCCATATATTTGTTGTTGGACAATCGATTTTTGGTTGGGGTTTTACTTTTCTTTTACAGACTTCTTTTTTTTTGTCAGTAATCATTTCTGGTCGGCCATCTCATCATCCTTAGTATGAGAAACGAAGGCTACTGTTGGTCTGAAGCCTGACTGTTGACGTTAGGCGTATAGTGTTGGGCAAAGAGGGAAAAATCAATCGACGAGGCTATAAAGTTACATAGATTGAAATGGCTAGGTGACGTGCTGTGTATGCCTAACCATCGCCTCCCCCTCCCGATGGGCATTACTAGCTGATTGACATAGGTGCAGGTTGGAAAAGAGTAAGTGGTGACATGCCAAACAAAAACATGGCCTCATCAATCCATAAAATCCCTGACAGTTCAACTGAGTCAGTCAGGTAGGGAGGGAGATGCAGACTTCCGGGTTGGGGCCCGCCCTCGGGACTCTAAGAATCAGTCAATGGCTGGAGACAATAGGTGACATGGCTCCAAATCGTTGTCAATGGCTTACGCAGATGTGTTCAGTCTCTTGTGTAATCTTTCATATTCCTTTCTACCATTACTCATTCGTTCTGTTTCACTCTTATACTTGTCAAAACTCTATTGATTCTCTTCACTCATCCATCTTCTTGTCTACCTTTGTGTGGTATTTGGAAGGTGGCAACTGGAACTGCTGCACTTCGGTGCCAAGTTCTATGTTGAATCCAGCAGCAGCAGAAGCCTGACTGATAGCTGCTACCTTGACATGGTGGTGGTCGAACTTGTACATCGCGATGACCCAACAAGCTGCACTGGCTGGTACCAATGTTTTCCTGCAGGTCCTACCATGCCAAGAAGGTTGTTAGAATAGCGATTAGACTAAAAGCAGTTACCGGCATAGTGTAAGAATCTTTCTTACACTATGCTATGCTGAGGGTCTGTGGGCGAAGTCATACTCCTGGGGAACAGGAATGTAACATCAGTGAGGTGTTTCCCTCAGATGACCAGCATGCCAGCCAACTATGCTGTCTCTCCATTCTGCTGGTGAGAGGGGGTTAGAAAAGGTCGACCGCGAAAATTGTACATCCCGACTTACCTCACCTATGGTGGTCCGTAACCGGTGGTAAGTTTACTAATACGGGACCAAACCAAGAAACCAGTTCATACAGGCCGTGTGTGACCGGCCTGGCTCAAGCAGTTGTCCCCTGGGCTCTGCTGTCACGCAACACTAATCCTGTTTCACGTACCCGAAGAATCAATCAACTAGTGTGGGCAGCCGGGAAGTAACAAGCGCCCACACACACTTCCAAAAGCCCTTCACTTCCGTTGGTCTGAAGTCTGTTTGAAATGCTCACCTGATACTGTACACAAATATTCTAATACTTTTTTTTCCTTTCTCTATATAGGCGCACCTGATCCAACCGCTGGTGGAAGCCTACAAGAAGTAGCTGCATGGTATCTTGACGAAGCTGGTGTTCGTGAACAACTTCGTGCTGAATTGACTAATCTAGCCAATAATGCTACACTTGTTGGAGGATTATATGGAGGTGATAACAACTCACCACCTAATATACGGTTGCCGTCTGTTGGTGGTGGTGGTGGTGGTCAGTCGGGCGCCCAGCTTTCTGCATCAGCTCCTCCATCAGGCGTTATGCAACAACGATCAAACAATTCACATCGACCACATCCCAACTCTTCATCTTCATTGGATAATAATAATAATAACAATAGTCGTGTTGTTAATAATAGAAATCAAAGCGGTGAGTGATCTAATTTGTAAGACGACTGTGACCTCGATTGTATTAGACAATGTGTTGCCTAAGTCTTTAGTAGAAAACACAAGATTATGAGTGAGCTAACAGTGTAAACACACACTAGTGTGTGTTTAACTTCCCATCTTCTTTCCTTTTTTTACACTGCAGTCTACCATTAGCAGCTCCCCCGCTTCCTGACTTTCCAATTCATCATAAGTGAATTGAATTGAATTGCCGCCATCTTTGAGTTATAATGTATTCGAAAAATCTGTGCTTATCCTGTGTTCTAAGTACAGTGAAAAACAAAACTCAAGTTTCGAAGTCAAGTGTGATTATAATAATTGGTGATGTGTATGATTATGAACAGCAATAATGGTGAATTGTGTTCGAAACAACTTTGTCATCCAGTAAATACTAATACTGTTTTACTCACTGACTGTGTGTGACTTACTGGCTGGTTTCGATGTAGAACTTCGTACCGATGTGCAGCAGTTCAAGTCGCCGCCACACTCCATTTTAGTATGTGAACTCTGCTAGTCATCTCCTAAACAGATCTTGTTGGTGAACCACACACTTGTTTCTGGTCCGGGGTTCGATCCCCTAAGTCTTGCTAAGCCAATTGGGTTGTAAGTTTGGTAAAGAAGGAAGGTTGGAGGCTGGTAGCCCCACCCTGTAAAAATAAAATCACTGTAACACTATAACTTCAAATCTCTAACTTGTCGCCGTATATTCTACTCTAAAACGTAAAGGGATAAAAAAAATTAATAAACTGGTAGCTTTCAAGTGTATTGGTTCTGTAGAGATTTTGTTTGATTGCATGGAGGATTTCATCATGACCAGCTGACATCAGTTGGAGAACTATTGGGAAAACCACCACTGGGGAGTACTGAACGTCTGTCTGTTTCCTCCTTGTTGTGTTTGGGACTCTTCGAAGAAGACATTGCGATATGTCGTGCGTGAATTCAAGGACCATTGGATAGGGTCCCAGTGGCTGCTCAATGGTCTACGAGCTAGCTCGCTGGTCTTGTAACCAGGAGGTCCTGGGTTCGAACCCTTTCAGCGGGGTTGATGCGTACTGATGAAGAATCCCAAACTAGGCTGACGAAACAGCCGGCTGTCCAGTACTCACTCCTTGGTTGATTTTCCAGTGACTGTCTAACTGATGTCAGCTGGTCATGATGAAATCCTCCATGGAAACTGGTAACTGTCCATAGGGGGAGGGAGAGGAGTGAAACAATGAAGTAGTGACTTAATAATAATAATAGTAATTTGCTTTATTCCAGAAACAGTACTATGGTAAGTGTGGAATTTTCAGCACATATCTACAATATTTGCATCTAATTTTATCAAACGCTTAAAAGGAGTATTTCAAAAAAATAATAAATATAAAGACACCAACAGCAAAAAAAAACAGGAAAAACACGAAATAATTCTTTTAAAAATGCGAAAAAATACCAAGAAGTAAAAAGGAAAATAAACAACATAATAAATAATATCTCAGTATTGGGCAGTGGAAGCAATGATATGATTATGCATGGTGACAGTAAAGCTATATTCATACGAGAAGTTATGAACTGATATTTAAGAATGTTTATCGCCAAGATGATCAGTTAATTTGGTTGAAACAACACTCATAAAATAACATTTCAGGGTTGTTGTGTAGTTTATTGTCAGGTCTAATGCAGTGTTTGTAGTGGTAGTGTGAGTAATCCTGCATAATACAAAATTTTAAGGTGGTGATAATGGCGTTCACAACTAATGATTGTCAGTTAATATTGCCGAAAAAAAATAAGTAAAAAATAAGAAAAAACAACTACAAAAAGTAATAATTACATGTTGTTTAATGACAGGACAATTTTGTACTACTCATAGTGGTGATATAGTCGGAACCAGTAGATACACAAAAGAAGGAATACAGTAAAGTACAAAAAGTAAGCCAATGTTAATATTTTAGGTAGCTAAGTATGTTTGAGAAGGTGTTCACTATAGAATACAAAATAAGAGAGAAATAAAAGAGCCTAAAATTATGTTGTTAATAACAAAGCAAGTCATAGGTTTCGCACTTAACATTGTCTCTGTCGCTTAGAACACGGGCCAAGTATTTTTAATGTTTCAACTTGTTAAACAGTTTGTATTCATTTATTTTATTTATGTGTCTGGTGAATTTGTTTATTTATTTTTTCCTATTTTAACATACAAATGTGCACACAATAATTGTTGTTTGCATCTTCTATTGTTGTGTGTTGCATAAATAAATAAACAATGTAAAACCTATCAATTAGACAGATCTCATCACACAGGCTTAACTCTAATATAGAAGTTCTCGAACTGTACATCAATGTCAATCTGACTAATCTCTGTACGAAAATCGCAAAACTTAGGTCCTAGAGATAACGCTTCAAGTTGTAGTTTGTCAAGAGTCACGCTAGAAAAGTTATGCACTTACCTTTCGGGATTAGCAGCAAAATCTACATTCGAGAGTTCGGCTTTCTAAGCCTTTCATAAGTTGTGTTCGTTTTTTCGAGGAATTAGATTCGGCGATTTCATCGACACATATTCCATAAATTGTAGTCTCATATCCTCTGGAAGGTCGAGAAGTGCATAATTCCGTTGTGTGATATATATTTAATTCCAGTTGTGTGATGTCAGACTGTATTGATTCGAGCTGATTAAGTACATGTCGTTTTAAAGTCATTTTACTTACAACTTGAAGCGTTATCTCTAGGACCTAAGTACAGTTCGAGAACTTCTAACTACAAACAGGGGACTTGGGCGCCTCCTCTGATGAGGACCTAGAAAGATTCAAATCAATCCTGGTAGACTGTTGCTATCAGTATAGACAGAAGGATAAGAATTAACTCTAATATGCCTACATACATAACCTAACAAATAAAAATTCAAATATAAACCAATCATCATGGCGTTTTTTATCTGTAGAATAATAAGATGGTTCAGGTGCACGTGGTAGTCGATAAAGGCTAAGAAAACCACCAATGAACCAATTAAATAATGCTAAATTGTAAGGGAAGTAAATGAAACACATTTTTAATGAAGATGTGATAAGATTTAGGGAAGATAAGAGAGTGGGGTTGAAAATATAAGTAAGTAAGGTGTGGTGGTGTAGAACTCATCAGTTGGTTATGTCTTAATATAGACCGACAAGGGAGAAATAGTGGCTGGCCGTGTACGAACTTCTTTTGAATGCGTATAGTTTATGTTTCTAATATTTGTTCGAATGCCTATCGCCCGCCTCAGCTGTGTGTGTGTGTGTGTGTGCAGTAGACGGAGGAATACAAAGTCTATTGGAGGAAAGATTCAGTGAGGGATACGAGGAATTACTTTGAAAGCTTTCGTTATCTCTACCACCGCAACATGACCACTATCAATTAAATGTGACAAAATTGAACTACGGATTGTTTTTTGTCTGTCCTTTGTTAAACCACGATGATGGGAGATGTTCAGTGGTGACACGCTGGCTGGCTAAGCTGTATAGTAGTAGTCGGTCGGTCGGTTGGTTTTCGACATAGAACTTTGCACATATGTGCGGCAGTTCAAGTCGCCACACTCCATGTAGCACACAAAGCAAGAGAAGAGAGTAGAAGAAATGCATAATAAAGATAGACAGTAAACAGAGGTGTGAGACAAAGGAATAATGATAACGAAGAACAAAACAGTTTCATTGGAAATCATAAGTCACAAGGAGTGGATGCATCTGCGCCACTAACAACGATTTTGAGCCATGTCACCAATAGTTTCCAGCCTTCATTGGTTTTTACCGTCCCGAGGACCCCAACCAGTCAGGAAGCCAGTCTACATCTTCCTACGTGGCTAAGAGTAACTGTTGTGGACTCATTGACCGATGAGGCCATGTTTTCGTTTGACCGCCGCTAGCTCCTTTCCAGCCTGGCCTTATATCAGCTAACATTGCCCAATGTCGAGGAAGGCGATGGAAGGCTAGGTATGAGTACCACATGTCCTAACCATCTCAGTCGATGTAATTTCACAGTCTCGTCGACTGATTTCCACGCCTGCTTACCTAGCACTCGACGCCTAACCTCAATATTGCTCACCTTATTATACCACTTCACGCGGGAGATAGAACGCAGACACCTATGATCGAACACAGCGAATCTTTTCATGTCTTCTGCTCTCAATGGCCAGGTCTTACACCCAGCCATAAAGGAGGACGGAGTGGACTGTTGAGCAGTACACACGCCCTTTGGTCGATAGTTGGATATCACGTCTACTAAGCCAAAGACGGCGCAAACTGGCATATGTGAACCTAGCCCTCTGTATTCGTGCTGAGATTTCGTCGGAGATCAAACCGTTTGCACTGACTGATGGTACTTCCCAAGTAAGTGAAGTGGTCAACGTGCTCTACCAGTTCACTTCCCAACATAACTGTCACCGCAGGTGCAGTTGAATTGATAATTGCACATAGATGTGTAGCGTAGACGTGTGTTTTAAACTGTTTCCTATGCAAAATGCATATCAAAATTTTTAACCTATCTTTGTTAATCTGTTCATCATTTCTCTCTCGCTTCCTTCCTCCTTCCATGTCTAGATACTGACCATACCTCCTCTCCTCCTCCTCCCAGTGAAGAAGTTGGTCTAGACTGGTTACTCAGATATCGTCGATTAACAACATCGCATCAGAATCTGTTTATCGGCAGTACAACATGTACAAATCCTTATACAACATTCAATGACTTCGACTTTGCATCATCATCGTCTAGTAATCATGCCCCAGGATCCTATGATGAATCATGTCTTCATTCAGAATCATCGATGTCCAACAACAACAACAACAGCAGTAATCGTCTATATTATTCCACTTCACCATTTCACCTACTATCCAATTCATTCGATATTGATCCAAATGTGCATAGTAATAATAATAATTCCAATGTCAATACGACTAATACTACTACTACTGCTACTGGTAGTAGTAGTATGCAGTCAAGTGGAACACAGATTGCTGCCATGTTCGCTAAAGTACGCGAATTATTGGCTAAACGTGATTCAAATGCTCCGCGTTTGTTAAGTCTTATCACAGAAGAATTACTGAACTGTTCAAAACTGCCTGTAAGTAAAAACTAAAACGATGATGATGATGATGATAATTTATAAATCTTATAAATCAGTTTTATGTAAATGAAATATTCAAGTTTGTATTTGTAGAATTTTTAATATATTTGTGCGTTGAAGTTTTAGTAGCAATTCGGTTAAGTTTTGGGGGTGGAGTTGCTAGCACCACGCCCCAACCCTCCTTCCTTATCCTGGTTTGGGACCGGCTAGAATACTAGTGACCTAGTAATCTAGGCGAGGCGAAAACCGACAAACTGGTCGAAGAAGCAGCAAACACAGGACTGACTCCAGGTGAACATAGACAAGACGGAGGTTATGAAAGTAACCCACCAACAACAACATCACCGGCAGCAACATCCAGCGCCAATCACCATCAACGCGAGCTGTTTGAAAGAGGTTACTTCTTTCACTTATCTAGCTAGGGAGCATTGTCTCAACTACAGGAGGAACGGACGAGGATGTCAAATCGAGAATCGGGAAGGCGAGGAACACATTCATCAACCTGAAACAACCAATCTGGAAATCTTCGTCACTCAGCAACACTCAACAACAAAATTCGGATTTTCAATACAAACGTCAAGTGAGTCACTTCTACTATACGGATTAGAAACTTGACGTCGGATCAAAAAGAATATTTCCAACAGCCTGTTGCAGACCTTTATCAACAACAACTATCTTCGCTAGCATCATACTGAAGATCAGATGGCCGGAAAGAACAAGAATCACCAACAAGAAACTATGGGAACAAACAAACGAAACAAGAAGCGATCGCCAAACAAATATGCAGGAGAAAGTGGAGATGGATTGGACACTCACTGGCTGAGGAGGCCGCTGCTGGTGACATAGCGCGTCAGGCCATCGCTCGAGTGGAACCCGAAAAGGAAGTGGCGAGTAGTGGGACGTCGGTGCAAGGGTGACATGGAGGAGATCGTGTCAGGAAGAGTTTAAACAGTATGGATTAACATGGATGCAAGTGAAAAGTACAGCAGAAGACAGAAGTGAGAGTGGAGGCGTGCAGTTGAAGCCCTATGTTCCACTAGGAACCCAAGGGAACAATAATAATAATAAATATTCAAGTGTTGGTTTGTAGGGATTTGCTTTTGATTGGTTACAGGATTTTCATCATGACCAGCTGACATTGGTTAGAGAACCACCATTGGAAAACCTACCACTGGGAGTACTGGACAGCCAGTTGTTTCCTCCGTCCTAGTTTGGGACTCTTCAGCAGTACGCACCCACCCGAATGCGGTTCGAACCAAGAACCTTCTGGTGACAAGGTGAGCTAAGGGTCGCGCTATGTCGTGCGTGAATTGACAGAAGTTAGAATTCATGGGCCATTGGATCTGGGCCCAGTGGCTTAATACGAGCTCGCCTGGTAACCAGAAGGTCCTGGGTTCGAACCGCATTCGTGTGGGTGCGTACTGCTGAAGAGTCCCAAACTAGGCTGACGAAACAGCTGTTCAGTACTCCCAGTGGTAGGTTTTCCAATGGTTCTCTAACTAATGTCAGCTCATAAATGATTATTCTTCAACAGTCTTGTTATTTATGCTAGATATCTATCTATTCAATTCATGAATAATGCTGCATGCGCATATATTCCGGCGGTGAATGATGATGATACGGTTGCTGAGTGAACAACTGGCTATCCAGAAAAGTTTATTGATAAAAAATATGTATGAATCAAACTGAAATCATCAAAGCAGTCCAAGGTGTACACTAACAGTTGCGAAAAATGAAGGAAGGCCTTATTGTTACAAATGCAGTCGGTTCCTTGGGGACAACAACATCAGCGAGATACGCTGGTGCTGCTGCTGAATTACGCTGTGTCTTCAAAACCACCCACTCCTCTCTCTCTCTTTGCATTCGTGTGTGTGTGTGTATGTGTATCTACCAATTTAACTGCTCCTGCGTGGAGTGAGTGAGCCAGTTACTTACTTGCATAGGCCGTACAATTAATTAGGCGTGTTTCTCGTCGAATTTCCGAACATCATCCACTCCTGCACAGTGGTTGGTTGGTTAAGTAAAGGAAAAAAAGCAAAATCTATTCACAGTGCTATTCTATTCTATCTCACTCATCTTCTTGTGCATACAAAACACAAAACTGATTGATGTTAACAAGGCAGCGGCTTTCAGGGTCAGTTACCGCATACACCAACAAACAAATCTCAATTTCGCCTTAACAGTTCGACAACTAAATATTGCTGAGGCTGGCCGTGTTGGGATCCAGATTAACAAGCCTAATTTGTGCATCCAAAAGAAGTTGCTTGGTTGGTTCAGACATTATCCTTACCCGCTTGGCCATCTAGGTTTGAATGATGGATCCTGAATTTTTGTGGGATTTTCCTAATTTTAGTTGATATTCTATTCGCTATTATATCTTTGTTATTATTATTGTTGTTATAATTCAAGCATCTTTAATGAACTGTGGTGATTCCATTGTGATCTTACTTTACAAATCGATATTACTATTTAAAAAGCACGCACTGATATTGTTATTGACTACTAATCTAGAATATTCTATCTATATATAGACATATGCATATAATTGTAGAGCCGGAGGAGGAGGAAATTATCGAAAGGGGGATATTCTTTCCTGGCTCAATTATATTTTGTGTTTTATAGATGTCTGAATGAATATTTTTGAATAAAACCACAAAGCCGTTCTTATTCCAATGCATATGTGATTATTATTATTAAAATACACAATACGCATATTTAACTTATGGTAATTACTTCAAACAACAAAAAAAACGCTTTTGAAATATTTGAATATTTCATGTTCTTGAACGTCTAATTTATTTATGAAATTTTCAAACATACAATTTTTTTTCTTTTTCTCTATATCAGCCTTTAAAATCAAGACGAAATATCCGGAATAGTGGAATCAACATGGCGAATAGATCACAAACAATTCCTCCTGTAATCCGTTTACCGCATAGTCAACTGCTGCAAACATCTGATCGTAATTACTCCAGTGAAAACTTATCCAACTCCTCCTCCTCAGCACCATCACCATCATCGAATCATAATTCCTCTCATTCATTGTTCAGTCAACCTCCTCCATGGACTGTTCGACTATGGGAAGAAGTGTGCCTGCTATGGACACTTGTACTCCTTAGTCCTGATTGCAATGCTGAAATGAAAAAACAATGGCGTTGTCGACTACAGAATTGGTCACGTGTCAGTCGAAGTCCCTGTGATGATTGTTATCTACTTCCTAATCATTATTTTTCGTCTATTCATGAATTATCCGAAGTCAATGAAGATGGTCTGTGTCAAAATCAGCAACAGCAGCCACCAACCTCTCGTGCCTATCGTCGTACTTCAGTATTCCGGCTGCCAATAGAAGTCAGTTATATGTCATGGGATGAGGTCTGGTTAACGCATTTATTGTCTTTTAATAATAATAACAATAATAATAATATGAAGTCGGACAAAAATGAAGAAGAGCTCAATGAGACCAGCGTCAACCGTCAATCTCACTATTCAACAAATATTTCTTTGGATGATAATAATAATAATAAACAGTGACTGTGATGATAGGCGAATATTTAGGCGACCGTCTTCAGTAGTAGTGACACCAAGACGAGTTAGTGCATATAATCGTTTATTATATCAGTCTAGTTCACCTGGAGCAGGAGGCGCAGGCGGAGGAGGTGAATGTCATTGCCCTTATTGTGATCTTTCAGCCACTCTGACTGAACCATTCCCCCTACTGTGTTTACGTGTCGCTGCATTACGCAGTAATGGTTATCTAAGTCAAGCTTTACAACTTGCTGTATTTATTAGTCAGCGTTTATTGCGGTCGGTTAAAGCGAAAACTGCATTAGCCACGTCTACATTATTCAATATGGGTATGCGTAGTCCTCCGCAAACATTTTCTCCGCACATGTCTTGGAGTAATAATAATCACAACAGTAATAACAATAATAGTAATAATAATAATAATGGTAACAATAATAATAATAATAATAATTATCCGAATGATATATTAACAGCGCGTCGTACACTGTTCAATACACCGCCTAATAATGGACAAGGAATTCGAGTTGGCGGTGGAATGCATTCTAATTCACGTTATATACCCTCAGGTAAATATTTTTTTTATGTGACGATTTAATCATATTGTTTCTGCATATTATTATTATATCCTTTAATTCCTAGAGGAACATAGGGCTTCCCCAAACGTCTCCATTGAGTTCGGTTCTCGGCTAGAGTCTTCACCTGACTCCAAGTCTGCCATCACACACGTTTTCATCTCCTCTTCACATGACCTCTTCCAAGTCACACCCTTGGACGACCAACTCGCCGCTTCCCTTTCGTTCGGGTTCCACTCGGGCAATGGCTTGTCTAGTGATGTCACTTGATGGTTTCTTCAGAGTATGGCCAATCCACCTCCATTTCCTTCTGCCTATTTGTTTCACAATCGGTTCCTGCTGTGTTGGTCCACTCATTGCCAGAGATCCCTCCCTGTTGCCCATCTTTTCTGTCCGGCCGGCCATCTGATCTTGAGTGGTATTGAGCGAAGACAACTGTTAATGAAGGTCTGCAGTTCGTTTGAGATGCTCTTCATGACGCACGGTGCAAGTCTCTGATCCGTATAGCAAGTAGCACTGACTGACTTCACATTGGAGTTGAAAATCCGGATCTTATTTTTGATGCTGAGTAGTGCTGTTGACCTCCACACAGACTTGAGAGTAGTGAAAGCTTGTCTTGCTTTCCCGGTCCTTGCTGCTTTGATATCCTCGTCAGTTCCGTCCGCCTGTAGTTGAAACGATGCTTCCCAGGTAGGTGGGTAGGTAAAGGAGGTTGTTTCTTTCAGGTTCCTCCCATTTATGCTGATCGTTGTCTGTTGTTGTTGTTATTGCTGGTGGTGGTGTTGCCCAGGAATCTTCATTACCTCTGTTTTCTCTATGTTCACCTGAAGTCCTATCTTCTGTGGATGCTTGTTCTGCCAACTTGTTGCTTTTCGCTTGCATATCTTTCAGTATGTGGGAAATCAGACATATATCATTGGCGAAGTCCAGATCCTCCAAGTTTTTGGTGTGAGTCCATTTTATCCCTGTTTCCTCATTGCCCGCTGTTTGTCGCATTATCATCCAGTCTACTGCAATCAGGAAAATCATTGGCGATAGTAGGCAATCAGCCTTGTCTTACTCCCGTCTTTACTTCGAAGGATTCCGTAAATTTCCCGTTGTGGATTATTTGGCAGTTTCTGCAGTTCAGCAGTAGACACCCACCCCACTGCCAGGGTTTGAACCCAGGACCTTCTGGTTACAAAGCCAGCGAGCCACTGGGACCCATATTGGGGTACGTACTGCTGCTGAAGACTCCCAAACTAGGACGGAGGAAACAGCTGGCAGTCTGGCAGTACACCCTGGTTGGTTGGTTTTCCATTGGTTCTCTAACTGATATCAGCTGGTCATAATGAAATTCCCCATGCAATCAAACAAAATCTCTACAAAACCACCAATACACTTGAAAGTTAAAAGTTGTAAATTACATGTTACTGAACGGCACAAAGATAGAAATTTGATAAGGAAGGTTAAAATTGCTATTGAGTGTGAGAGAATAAAAGTGGTAATTGAGTGTCTATTTAACAAGTGTGTCGAGAGGGTGTGAAAATGTACAACAGGGAACATATGAGAGTGATTATAGTGAATTAATTATTAAAGTAAAACTAAAAATTAAAAAGAAAAGAAAAAAATCAAAATTTTTTACAGGGAACGAACGACCAGTGAAGAGGTTAAGGCCAAGGTAGAATAAGAGACTGGAAAACGTTTTGTTTGTATACAGAGTTCGGGGTTGTATTGACGAATTCCCAGCCCCTCCGTCCCATACACAAAAGCCGAAACCTAACGCCCTTTCTACCATTTGTGATTACACCTTGTAGATGATGTTGAAAGACGACTCTGGTGGAGCTACGTGGCTACGAGTTCACCAAGTGCTCGAGAATTGAGCTAGTAATTGTCTTACATTGTCCCTTCGCTAACCTAGCGTGTCGGATAATGTTTGAGAGATGCGTTTCGAAAGTGTTCGCCAATTTGTGCAGGCGGCCAATATAACTAGCTCCACACAAGCAGGTGAATTTATGGAAACACACACATTGAGGTGGCGGCAGTTTATCCTTAACACATCTATTGATCATTTTTTCGGCTGTAGAATTTGATACGTAGCTCAGCCATAAAGAAGGCTTTCCTCATTGTGATCTGCATAGGCAGCGATTCTTCAGGATCTCAGCTGCGGTATCACCTTTACATTCAACACTCATAGATAGCAGTTTCTTCTCGGCACCGTCTGGATTCTTTCTGGCTTTTCCCTTAACTTCATGTTTTTCTCAATGAAACAATATACATATATATATATATGGCCTATATTTGGCGAAAAATTTATATTCTTGTCATTCCTACTGTAATTTATTTTTATTTTTTATTATTTTTTTAACTCTCTCTTTAGCCAATATGCCCTCATCTCCGATTATTATTTCAAATCATGGCAAATTCTCGCCTTCACATCGCCGCCTTACCTCGCCTCGTCCAGCATCACTCTCTCCTCCAATTAATGTGAATCATCATTCACGTTCAATTCCCCCACCTCCTCCCCCGCCTCTGCCTGCGCCTAGGCGTCTTGGTCTTTCACCGAATTCAAATCACAGTCCTGGTCCATCATGTTCTAATCATCAGCCTGTGAATAATAATAATAACTGTTGTTGGTCTAGTCAATCCCCTTATTTGTTTAAATCACCTCCTCCCCCTCCCCCTTCTGCTCCTAGTACATCTCAGCAATATTTAAATCACTGTTCCCCGTCTGCATCAGCACCATCAGCATCTTCATCATCATCATCATCATCATCAGGATCATCACCATTTTCTCCAGTTCCATTTCATAATTCTTATCATCATCATCAACAACAACAACAACAATCGTCGAATACCAATCATGTCTACTATTATTATAATAAGCAGCATATGCCTTATCCAAATTCTTCGCTTTACCCCTATGCTTCTTCTTGTTCATTACCACCACCTATGCATAACTCAAACTGTGGTAGCAATGGGAATAGCACAGCAGCAGCAGCAGTGATGCATCCTGTTCACTATAACCGCTCATTAACTTCTCCTACTTCTCCTTGTCCTCCTCCTCCTCCTCCTGGGAACAGATCTATTCCTTCAAGACCGTTACTGTCGCCTCATTCAATGCCCAGTGGTGGTGGTGGTGGTGCTAGTGGTGAGACTGATATGAATTGTGGTCTGATTTCTTCAAATTGTCCTTGTCATGCTGATATCGGTTGGATTGGTCTACCAGGTCGACCTGTGATTTGTCTAGTTGAATGCTTATTGGATGCAGCTGCTATTGTCGTTGAAGCGGCGGCTAGTCATCATCATCATCAAACGCCTATCGCTTTACCATCATCATGGGGTCATATGGAAAAAGCATCATTCTACTTGTGTTTAGCAGTGAAAGTAAGTTGTACGCTCTTCTATCTCTCTCTCTCTCTCTCTCTTGGTTGTTTGTCTTTTTTTTGCCTCATTTCAGGTCAGTGGATACCCGTAACGCCCGATTGCAAATCATGTGTTGCTGCTGCCCATATGTCGATTTTGTGATGAATGAATTAGGCTAATCTCTACGATTCTTTGCGATACAACTTTTTTTGGTGGTGTTTGTGTGTGTGTGTTCATTTGTGTTGCTAGTATAATAGAATTATTGATTGAGAAGCAGTACCCCATACCTTTGATACTGTTCTTAACCAAGAGCTCTATTATAGAATCTAGAGATAGTCTTCTGAACACCTTGAGCAACAATCTTCGTATGTTTGGTATGCGATTCGCCCCTGTAAAATGTAAGATGATGCTGCAGGATTGGACTTCACCGACCCCTAGATTAGAAATAGGAAGTGAAGTGGTTCGTGGAGAACGTTGACCGCTTCAATTACTTGGGAAGTACCATCATCAGCCAGTGCCAACGGGTTGATCTCTGACGAAATCTCAGCACGACTACAGAGGGCTAGGTTCGCATACGCCCGCCAGTTTACGCCGTCTCTGGCGTAGACGTGATATCCGACTATCGATCAAAGGGCGTGTGTACTGCTCTGCAGTCAGTCCGCTCCGTCCTCCTTTATGGCTGGGTGTGAGACCTGGCCATTGAGAGCAGAAGACATGAAAAGATTCGCTGTGTTCGATCATAGGTGCCTGCGTTCTATCTCCCGCGTGAAGTGGTATAATAAGGTGAGCAATATTGAGGTTAGGCGTCGAGTGCTAGGTAAGCAGGCGTGGAAATCAGTCGACGAGGCTGTGAAATTACATCGACTGAGATGGTTAGGATATGTGTTACGAATGAATGCCTAGTCATCGCCTTCCTCACCGGGCAATGTTTGCTGATATAGGGTCAGGCTGGAAAAGAGCTGGCGGCGGTCAAACCAAAACATGACTTCACTAGTCAATGAAGAAATCCACAACAGTTAGTTTAGGCCAGCTAGCCAGCCAGCCACGTACGTAGAAAGGTGTAGACTGGCTTCCTGACTGGTTGGGGTCCTCGGGACGGTAAAGCCAATGAAGGCTGGAAACAATTGGTGACATGCTAAAAATCGTTGTCAGTGGCGCAGATGCATCCACTCCTTGTGACTTACTTATGATTTCCAATGAAACTGTTTTGTTCTTCGTTATCATTATTCCTTTGTCTCACACCTCTGTTTACTGTCTCTATTATGCATTTCTCCTACTTTCTTCTCTTGCTTTGCGTGCTACAAGGAAGCAGTGTGGCGACTTGAACTGTCGCACATATGTGCAAAGTTCTATGTCGAAAACCGACCGATCGACCAACCGATGCCAAACAAAAACATGGCTTCGTCAGTCCATGAAATCCCTGACAGTTAAACTGAGTCAGTCAGGTAGGGAGATGCAGACTTCCGGGTGGTTGGGGCCCGCCCTCGGGACTCTAAGAATCAATGGCTGGAGACAGACAATAGGTGACATGGCTCAAAATCGTTGTCAATGGCTTACGCAGATGTATTCAGTCTCTCGTGTAATCTTCCGCATGCCTTTCAACCATTACTCATTCTGTTTCACTCTTATACTTGTCAAAACTCTATTGATTCTCTTCACTCATCCATCGTCTTGTCTACCTTTGTGTGCTATTTGAAATGTGGCAACTGGAACTGCTGCACTTCGGTGACAGGTTCTATGTTAAATCCAGACAGACAGTATAAATGAGTGTTAAGTTGTCTTTTTAAACAATGCATAGTTTGTGATATCAGATAATGTTGTGACGTGAATTTTATTTCATTCTCATTAGTTATTTGTTTGTTTGTTTCAGGTGAAACACCAGTGAAGAATAAGCATCATTTTTCCTTTTTTTTCTTATAATCCTTTTAATCCCGACGTATTTATTATGTCATACTTTGTGTTCTGATCTATCCTGGTCTTCACATATTTCTTAGCGATTTCTAAAAGAATATTTCGTCTGAGTTCTTTTTACGCTAAGAAGTTAAGGAAGGCACTCCTCAGGCATAACTCAACCAACCCTTACTCCTCCTCCTTTTACAGTTTGTCAACTCATGCATGCATCTTACCTATTATTCTTCTTCTTTACTGTTCACCCCCTGCTTATTCTTGCCTGGATTGCTTGTTTAAAAAAGACTATGTCATACTTCTTTGAACTCTGAAGACTGAAGCCATATCGTTGACATTGTCACTGATGGCCAGCACTTGATGTCATGCAATAAATTTTGCTAAAGGAATATTGTCAGACTGTGAGCATCCACCGCAGCACCCACAGCTCCAACCTTGTGTCTCCTCAGGTAAAACAAGAAGTCTTTTCAGAAGACTTTATGCACGTACGTCTAAGTATAAAAATTCCACTATACCATATTTCGCTGCACGTACTTTATGTGATGAAAATAGTGTCAGGCATGAACTAACTAACTAACTAACCTTCTTCGCACTACTAAATAAACCATTTTCCTCCATCCTTACAACATCAATCTTGTTATTGTTATTGTACTTCTTGTATTTATAATCCTCTCAATTTTTTGTTTTTAATTGTTTATTTATTTCCTCATAAGTGTGAACATCATTTAAGCTGTATTATAACTGTTAATTTTGTATTTCCCCTCACCATGCTGCTATATCAACAGAACATTAGATTCAATAATCTATAATAACATGCTAAATATTCCAAACTGAATCGACAATACTGTTTCAAAACAAACTCACTGTTATTATTATTATTATTATTATTACTATTACAGCTTCTCTTTTCTGTCAGAGGTGCTAATGGATTGTAAATCACAGTAGTAAGGACACCACACCACATACAACTAGGGAAATGTCTGTGATTAATATATGTGTAAAACTTGGGCACTGTGGTAGTAAGTAATTCCATATTAGTTTGTTTATTTGATATATCACGTAGTGAAACAGTATTATTCACTGGATGACGTTTCAAACAAAATTTATTACTGTTCATAATCATATCACCAATTGTAATCACACGACTTTGACACTTGAGTTTTATAGTCAGTCTTCTTTGTTCTCTCCTACTTGTCGTTTGGGTAGTAGAATTTTCCAGATATCGGGGACAGGTGATGAATCATTCCTATTACATGTATTTATAGTTGATTCCATAAACAAAGCTTCTGTTATCATTCTCTCCGTATACCCTGTAACATTAGATTTTAAAACTGTCATCCTATCCCATCCTATTGTGTGGTTGTGTGTAACTGCATGTAGTGCTATAGCTGAACTATTCTCTAGATTTCTTATCTTATTCGGGTCAACCAATCGACATTTAGCTAGGTTTTTATGTTCAGCTAGTCTGACTGCCCCTAAATTGTTTTGTTTTAAGGGCTCTACAGGATCCTTTAACCGACAAAGCTTGTTTCTAATTGAGTTTGTGGGTTTGAATGCCATTTTTATTCCTGCCTTGTTAAGAATTCTCCTCTGTAAGGCTTCCGAGGCTCCTTGCTTGTATGGAATTACTACTGATGATTTAGATTTCTTATTATTGGTGTCGTCATTAATATTATTATTATTATCACTATTATTATTAACATTATTATTATTATTATCACTATCGCTACTATCATTATTTATTTTATTTTTACATTTCCTTACATATTTCCTGACTAATTTATCCGGGTAATTATTAAGTTTCAAGGCTTCTTTTATGTGTATCAGTTCCTGTTTTAGATTTCTTTTGGTACTACTTAGTTTTTGTGCTCTGTCATTTAAACATTTCACCAATCCTATTTTTACTGACATAGGATGGGACGACCGGAAGTCTAAATATCTGTTTGAGTGTGTGGGTTCCCTGTAAACACTAGTGTTTAACTTGCCATCTTCTTTCCTTTTTACTCTGCAATCTGACATTGGGAGCTCCCCTTCCTGATTTTTCAATTCATAAGTGAAATGAATTGCTTCAACTTTCGAGTTGATGTGTTCGAAAAACCTATCTATATCTTGTGTTCTAAGTACAGTGAATGTGTGTCATCTACAAACCTCCACCATACTTTTGGGGTGGGTGAGGCTGGGCGTTTCAATCGCTATGTTCTCCCACTTATCCATGAATATATCTGCTACAACTGGGGATATTGGTGATCCCATGGCAACTCCTTCAGTTTGTTTGTATATTTTCCGTTGAAATTTAAATACTGTGGAAGTCAGGCATAGCTGTACTCCCAGCATTATGTCCTCAAGTGGCACTTTTGTCCATCCATCCCTCTATCCACCCACTCTGTGACATTAGATTTTCAAACTGTCATCCTATCCCATCCAGCCTATTGTATGTTTGGGTGTGTGTAACTGCATGTAGTGGTTGCGATAGCAGGGTATTAGGTAAACTAAATTGTTTTGTTTTATTGGCTCCACTGGCAGGATTGATCGTTTAACCGACAAAACATGTTTCTTACTGAGTTTGTGGTTGGTTTGAATGCCAGCAGCCACTTTTATTCCTACCTGTCTTGTTAAGAATTCTCCGCTGTAAGATGGTTTCCGAAGTTCCTTCTTTGTATGGCAGTACTACTGATGATTTAGATTCCTTATTGTTCGTGTTGTCATCATCTAATGTAACAGGAAGCTTTATTTATGGAATCAACTAAAAACACTTGCAATACGATTGATTTAACACCTGTCCAGCTGGGATATCTGGAAAATTCTACTACCCCCCAATGACGACGACAAATAGGAGAGAACAAAGAAGACTGACTATAAAACTCAAGTTTCGAAGTCAAGTGTGATTATAATAATTGGTGATGTGTTGATGATTATAAACAGCAATAATGATGAATTGTGTTCGAAACAACTTTGTCATCCAGTAAATACTCTAATACTGTTTCACTCACTCACTCACTGACTGTGTGTGATACATCCATCCATCTAATAAACAAACTGATATGGAACAAACAATAACGGGTGTTTCATCGTCTTTTTTTCACATTTCTGACTATCCTCACCGTAACATAAGAGGTCAACGAGAGGTCATAGTATTTCTCAGAGGAGAATTATTATTATTATTATTAATACTAGTTATACATGAAGGATAATCGCGTTGATGGTTTTCATGATAAGGGTATTAACAAGTAGAAGAAGAAGAAGAAAATTCACATGACCTCGAAGATACGTATATATGCATATCTATATATCTGTAGTTAAACACAAAGCTTTTACAAATCTGCCTATAGACTTTGTGAACAATAAAGTGATTGATTATTTTTTATCGATTGATTTTGCTGGAGTACATCACCTTGAATGAATTATTAAAATAAAGTATTCTGTTTTTATCTGTGTGTGTGTGTGTATTGAAGACACTTGCTGTGTTAACTCTTGTTAGTCGAACAGAGAAAATAGTGAGTACAAGAAGAAGAAGTCGTGAAGACTTTCTTCTTTAGATCAGATCACCTAACAGAAAAGAGTATAATAACCTTATACTCCTGCGGGATGAAAAATGTTGACTAATGAAGAGAGAGAGAGAGAGGGTCAAGGTAACACTAGATGTGCATGTGCGTGTGTGTGTCAGAAAGAGAGGGAGAGAATGGTTTATTCGTCAGTAATTTCGACTATCGGTCGAACAGAGATGTGGTGAGACAAAGGAATAGTAATAACGAAGAACAAAACAGTTTCATTGGAAATCATAAGTAAGTCACAAGGAGTGGATGTATCTGCGCCAGCCAGCCAACCAGCCATTGAGAACGATCACTTTGAGCCATATCATCACCAATTGTTTCTAGCCTTCATTGGTTTTTACCGTCATCCCGAGGACCCCAACCAGTCAGGAAGCCAGTCTACATCTTCCTACGTACGTGGCTGGCTAGCTGGCTTAAAATAACTATTGTGGATTTCTCCATTGACTGGTGAAGTCATGTTTTGTTTGACCACCGCTATCTGTTTTCCAGCCTGACCCATCCTATGTCAGCTAACATTGCCCATTGTCGAGGAAGTCGATGGAAGGCTAGGCATGCGTAACATCTCAATCGATGTAACTGCTTCACAACCTCGTCGATTGATTCTCCCTCCTATTTACCTAGCACTCAACCAACTCCTAACCTCAATATTGTTCACCTTATCATACCACTTCACACGGTAGATAGAACACAGGCACTTATGATCAAATACAGCTAACCTTTCCATGTCTTCCACTCTCAATGGCCAGGTCTCACAGCCAGCCATAAAGGAGGACGGAGCGGACTGCTGGCTGAACAGTACACCTGCCCTTTGGTCGATAGCCAGTTGGATATCACGTCTACTAAGCCAGAGACTTTGTACAGTGATTTGTAGAGATCTTCAATAGGTGATAAATTGTAATTTTCTGATTGATTGTAATAATAAGTGTGTGTGTGTGTTCACTGGTGTTTGTTCTACCTTTAAACATTGCTTTCCAATTCTGTATTTTATAAAGAAAACAATTTTTTTTTACAGTCTTTTCTTACATCGATGCTTCCTTTTGTTTCAGGTCAGTTTGTTAGCCTTATTTCAACAACGACCTCCAGTTGGTTCAGTTAGTCGATTGCTGGCATGTCAACATCAAGAGGCACGTTTATTAACCCTGTTGAATACAATACCCAAGGATGTGACAATTGCATTAGCAATGTGTGATATTTTATGCCAGTTGTTAGGTCCACCAATATCACCATCACGTATTCTATGCAAACTGGATCATTCTCCTGTGGTGCGTTTATGGTGGTGGTCTGCACTTGGCTTTCTTGTACATCCGGACACTTATCCAGTTCATGCTGTCGCTGAATTTGTGCTAAACTACCTTCTGGATACACAGAGATTGAATCAGTTGACATCATTCACGACATGTTGGTCAGGTTTTGCTAACGGAAACAACAACATGTCATCAGTACGCATTGATGATATGGTATTCACATTGGTTATACGAGCTATGCGGTAAGTGTGACTTTTACTTATTATTATTATTGTATTATTGTTCCCTTGGGTTCCTAGTGGAACATAGGGCTTCAACTGCACGCCTCCATTTGCTTCTGTCCTCTGCTGTACTTTTCACCTGCATCCATGTTAGTCCATACTGTTTCAACTCCTCTTCACACGATCTCTCCTCCATGTCACCCTTCGACGTCCCACTCGCCGCTTCCCTTTCAGGTTCCACTCGAGCGATGGCCTGACGCGCTATGTCACCCAGCAGCGGCCTCATCAACCAGTGTCCAATCCATCTCCACTTTCTCCTGCATATTTGTTTGGCGATCGCTTCTTGTTTCGTTTGTTTGTTCCCATAGTTTCTTGTTGGTGATTCCTGTTCTTTCCGGCCATCTGATCTGCAGTATGATGCCAGCGAAGACAGTTATTGTTGTTGATAAAGGTCTGCAACAGTCTGTGGGAAATGTTCTTTGTGACCCGCCGCCAAGTTTCTGATCCATCCGTATAGAAGAACTGACTGACTTGACGTTTGTATTGAAATCCGAATTTTGTTGTTGAGTGTTGTTGAGTGACGAAGATTTCCAGATTGGTTGTTTCAGGTTGATGAATGTGTTTCTCGCCTTCCCGACTTTTACTTACTTTTATCATAATAATATCTGTGACAGGGAAGCAAATCAGTTCATAATTGATTTTATGAGATTCACATTGTGGGTTTCATAATGTTGGCGCTATCAACAACGAGGAAGTCATATGAGCTATTGAATAAATCGGGTGGGTCCCCGGTGAGTGGTGGTGGCTGAATAGTATACTAGCCAGCCAGCTAGCTAGCTTGCCTTCCTTGTAACCGGAAGGTCCTGGGTTTGAAACCCTGTGTGCATTGGTGGGTGCGCACTGCCGATGATTCCCAAAACTAGGATGATGAAACAGCTGGCTGTTCAGTACTCCCCGCAATGTCGGTTTTCAATGGTTCTCTAACTGACCGATATCAATCCGTGATCAACTCGTAAAAGCAAAACATAACTAACCTTTACAAACCAAACTATAGAAGAAATTAATCTGATGCTCGTTAGTGACTTGCTATAGGATGGAGTATCCTGGAGACAGTCAGTTCTAGTGAGAAGTTGTGACCAGTGAGGTCCATCGAGATGTCACGTGTGAGGATGGGCGGATGTCCCACTAACGACATTGGTTGAGATCGCGCTAAATCAAGAGTTGGTAGAAGTTGGAATTCATGCACTGGCCAATGAATCGGGTCCCAGTGAGTGGCTTAATGGTCTACGAGCCAGCTAGCTGGCCTTGTAACCGGAATGTCCTGGGTTCGAACCATGGTAGGTGGGGTAGGTGCGTACTGTGAAGAGTCCCAAACTAGGACGGAAGAAACAGCTGGCAGTCTGGCAGTACTCCCTGCGGTTGGTTTTCCAATGGTTCTTCTCTAACGAATATATCATCTGGTCATGATGAAATCCTGTTAATATTCAGCTTTTATTCGCTTTGCTTGATTACTTACACGCCTGCCTTCTTGCATTTAGGTTTTCCATTGTTTTTTTGTTTTTTGTTTTTTGTCTATTAGGTTTTCCATCCCTGAAAATTATATGGATAATCCTGGAACTGGACCGGGTCTCATGCGGAGTAACAGTTCACCACAGTTATCAATGGGAGGTGGTGTTAGTGGTGGTGGTGGGGGTCCTACTAATGGCGGTAGTCAACGTACACATTATCATCGTGGTGGTTGGGGGGATCACTTCAATAATAATAATAATAATAATAATCTCGCTGGTTCTAGCAGTGCTGCTGCTGCTGCCGGTGGTAATGTTGTTCTTCTTCCTGGTGTTGTTCGAAGTGGTTTAGACACTGCACTTGCTGTAAATACTGACGATGATGAAGTCAATGATCAAGAGTTCCCCAGCATGAGCATGACTACTACTACCACTACTACTCCTATCTCGATAACAACATCTACGTCATCATCTGTCGATTCTAACAGCAATTTCATGAATAATCCTGTTCATTTTGATTATCATTATCAAAGGTTTCCACATCTACCGACTACTAATCCTCTGTTACGTTGGGAACATCACCAACAACAACAACATCAACAACAACACCAATCTGCTCCTGATGGTGTTGGTGGTGGTGGTGGTGGTGATCGCTTTGTTATGACTGCGCCAAAAATCTCCTCACCACCTTTACCATCTGCTTTTGCTATTTCTACACAAAATTTTCTTAAAACTCTCAGTGGAAGTGTAAATATGAATTCTTCCCCGAACAGCAGTAGTAGTGGTTGTAGAAATCTTTGCCATCATCAACATCATCATCATCATCCGGTTTATAATCTTCAAAATGCTGTCGATAATCGATGGTCAACACCGATAATAATACCTTCAATAGATCATCATCATCATGATGGTGGTGGTGATTGTGGTGGGGGGGAGGTGACACCGTTTTCTGGGCTTGCACCACTTTTCACTATCATGAGAAATAATATTCGAATACGTAGGAATCGATTTTCAACAATAATAGATGATAGTCAAACAATCAACGGGGGTGGCAATGGCAATGGTATTGTATCGCCGCAAAATCAAAGTGCGGCACAATGTCGTCGATGCTTAGATACACTGAAAATTCGTCAGAGTCGATTAGCTGTGGCGTTAATTCGTGTCTCTAAATCACTCGTGAATCGATTAGATCAAATTGTACAGATCTGTGATCAGAATATTCATTCACCAGTTACACTGTTGGTTATATCTCAACAGGTAATATATAATTATTTATGGTTGATATTATTATTATTATTATTGTTTCCTTTAATTCCTAGAGGAACATAGGGCTTCTTCAGCCGCGCACGTCTCCATTGCGTTCGGTTCTCTGCTAGAGTTTTCATCACGTGGCTTCAACTAAGTCTGCCCACATGCTTTCATCATCTCCTCTTCACATGACCTCCTCCTCCAAGTCCTCCATGTCACCCTCGCACTGACGACCAACTCGCCGCTTCCCATTCAGTCGGGTTCCACTCGAGCAATGGCTTGTCTAGTGATGTCACTCACTTGATGGTTTGTTTTCTCAGAGTATGGCCAGCCAATCCAATACACCTTCCCCATTTCTTCCTGTTTATTTATTGGACCATCAGTTCCTGTCGGGTTGCTTTTTGATTATTGAATTTGCCTTGTCTGCAGCTCTTGTTTCCTTGAAAATTTTTAATTTGATTTGGAGTGTTCCTTGTACGAGCCAACGTCTGCTTCTCTTCTTACTTTTGTATCCAGTAAGCTGCGCCTCATCCACTTCCTTGAGCAGTATTGAGATGAAATCAATTTGGTTTTTGGTTTGCCCATCTGGTGACACCCATGTAACCTTGTGGATATCCTTGTGTTTGTATACGCTGCCACCAATCACTAGTTCATTGAAGGCGCAGAAGTCGGCGAAGAGTTCTCCGTTTTCATTCATTTCTCCGAGAGTTTCTCTACCCATCATGAGTTCCCTTCCAGTGTTGTCTGATCCCAGTTTGGCGTTCATGTCTCCCATTAGTATTTTAATGTCACCAGCTGGAGTATTGTCCATTGTTGCCTGTAGTTGTCTGTAGAATTCTTCTTTCGTTTCGAGGTGTGCGTTGTTTGTCGGTGCATAGCATTGTATATTTGACACTTTCCTTCCTTTGAAGTTGAATCTGGCGGTTATTATCCTGCGCGAAGTCGCCTCTCATTGCATCAGGGCCTTCGTTGCCGTTGGTGACATCATGATAGCCACGCCCTCGGTGTGCGAGTGGTTATCTTCTGGGTGACCGGAGTAGATCACTGACTTTCCCGTTGACAATTTGGTGAGTCCATTCCCGTTCCATCTGCTTTCACATATTCCCAAAACTTGAATTCCGTATCTCGTCTGGGCAGCTTTGCCAATCTCGTACATGGTGCGGACGTTCCATGTCCCCACACACAGACTTTTTCTTTTCGCGTAAGGAGATTTATCTTGCTGAAGTTTCTGTAGCAGCTTTGTTTACAGGGTGGGGTTGCTAGGCTCACGCCTGAGAAGGGGATTGTCACATTAAAATATAGTTTATAGAGAAGCAACCTTGTGGGTTGCTCCCCTTAGAATCAGGAAAACAAGGAATAAAGCAATCAGAACAACACCAGCAGAAGGAAAATAATTCACAACAGGAAGGGCAACAAGCGACAACAACAATAATAATGTCGCAGTCAATTACAGTTAACCGAAATGATACCAAAATCATAGATTCACTGACTTGAGCCAACTTAGACATGTAAATCCATCAATATATACAAATATACAAGATATTAGTTAGTGTTAGACAGTCACAAAATGGCAAGCAGATAGTTATAGGTATTATCGGTCAACAAGATTATATCACGATGTGTTCGAGCAATGATAAATAAGTTCCACAGAAACAAGAGTTTTATGTAACTGACTAAATGTAGCGTGCTAATGGAAAAGCGCGTCGAAAAATTCGGTCGATATTATTAGCAGTCGATATTTTTTTTCACATCACATTTTGTTGTGTTGGCCTAAACTAACCCCGATGTTTATATATATATGGTGGAGAAGATTTGTAGCTCAGGTGGATGATTTTGATGTGGTTGTGTTCTCTGAGCAGTCGGATGGTTAATTTATGAAGCTTTCATCGCCACACTAGACAGGCAACATCTTCCTTCAGCGCATACACTTCAGTTTCAATTGCAGTGAGCTTTTAGATTTCTCCTCCATGAGTTCATCATTAAACATCTCTCCTGGTCGGTGTCCACCTTGGTACGTGATTGGTTGTTTTTGTGTGCTTTCACACCCTCTAGGCGGCTGCTTATATTGTAACTCATTGTTTCTTTGACTTGAACTTCGACCCTTTGTGTGTGTGTGTGTGAGGTTTCCTTCTTATCGGTTGATAAATTTTGTCTATCTCGATGTGTCTATTTATTGATTGATAATTCACTGGAATACCAGGTAGGCTTCTAAAAATTCTCTGGCTAGCATTCTTGGTGTTGTTTCCTCTGTCTTATATTTGGACGTTGGTTGTCCCAGTCGAATTGATGTCCGTGGTTGTCTGTATGTAGTGAGGCGATATGATTCAGGGAGTGGATGTCATGTCTTTTGACGGCTAGCTTATTTTCATGGATACGAAAACGAATAGCAGGGACGTTCACTTTGGCCAATGTAGTGTTTTTCGCAGTTGTTACAATTTATTGTATATATATATATATATGTTAGAGAGAAGTTTTTTGAAAAAAAAGTAATTAACAGTTGTGTTGTTGGGGTGGTAACTAAAGAAAATTAGTAATAATTGCATAATTAGATAAGAGAAGATCAAAATTTCGGTGCACATGAGGTCAGATGAGAGAGAAGTTGATGATGTAATACAGTGAGCAGAACTCAGAAGATCAAGAAAAAATTATCTCTTAAGAGAGAGTCAAGCGAAAAATAAAGCGGAGTGGGGTTGGGGGAGTGAAAAGATGAGTTAACAAAATTTGAAAACAAAGAGAGTTACTAAGAAGAAGTGAGTCACCAGGGTAAAATTGAAGTCCAACAACGGATTCTTTTTTGACACACATAAGTCAGGCTTCAATCGTTTTATTGCTATAGCTTCAGCAAACCTGAGAAGACTTGAGTTACTACTTTGACTGTTTATTATTTTGAATGATTCCAGCACATCTACTCGGTGCTGTCCTGTGTCAATCAGGTGTTTGGCGGTGATTAAAGAGCTTAAACAATTCGGTCCCTTTAACCGGAGGCTCGCTCCATGGTACATGTTCGTGGAATCTGACGTAGACCCTCCTCTCTGTTGTTCCAATGTAACTCCTTCCGCAGATACATGTGAATTAGTATACACAGTTGGAGGTAACATGTGAGAGGTGCTTGTCAATCTTTGACTGCACCGGTGAGGAGGTTGTTTTTGGCGTAGAGAGTGACTAGACAGGGCTGCGCTTAATCTTTTTTATTTACCATTTTCATAATGTCATCGCCCTTGTAGTCGAGTTTGATGAAAATAGGCTTCTTACTGGCTGTAGCTGTGTATCAAGCTTCTTGAGAGTTCATTCTTGCCATATTTGTTAGTGAAACTTTGTGGGTAACCACATTTTCTTTCAACCATTTTTCAAGAAGCATTAGTTCACTGTCTAGTTTTTTTTGATGAACATATTGTCTTCGCTCTAGAGAAAAGCGTTTTCACCAGCGTTCGCGTTTGTATCTCACTGGGCAGAAGCTATTGAAATTCAAGTAAAGACCACTCTATACGTTCCGTCGTATTTTCTCTCCAACTGTACGTTCAAAAAATAGAATTTTTCATCATCTTCATGTTCCATCGTGAAAGTGGTGCCTGTTTTGCGTACATATTGTTGAAAGAGTCGAATAGAGACGAAGCGTCGTGACTCAAATCATTGCTTACAAATGAATGTGTCATCAACGTATCTATAGTAGGCTGTTTTGTTTAGCCAATTGCACACTTGAGCTTTGTCTGTTCTATCTATAGTCTGGCTATAAAAATATCAAGGCATCACATTCTGAATATTTTGAATATAAAATGCCCTGAAAAATAGAGTGATACAGTTTTCTTGTAAAAGAGGGAATTCATTAATGTACCTGCACACTGACTAATTCAGAAATTTCATCCCAATTGTTCATTTATTCATTGTATTGTATGTAGCACTGGATGGAAGGAGCTTATTTTGTTTTTTGTCTTCGCAGGGATTGGACTTCAACGACCCCTAGATTAGAAATAGGAAGTGAAGTGGTTCGTGGAGCACGTTGACCGCTTCAATTATTTGGGAAGTACCATCATCAGCCAGTGCCAACGGGTTGATCTCTGACGAAATCTCAGCTGAGTACGGATACAGAGGGCTAGTTTCGCATATGCCCGCCAGTTTACGCCGTCTCTGGTTTAGTAGACGTGATATCCGACTATCGACCAAAGGGCGTGTGTACTGCTCTGCAGTCAGTCCGCTCCGTCCTCCTTTATGGCTAGCTGTGAGACCTGGCCATTGAGAGCGGAAGACATGAAAAGATTAGCTAGCTGTCTTCGATGATAGGTGCCTGTGTTCTATCTCCCGTGTGAAGTGGTACAATAAGGTGAGCAATACTGAGGTTAGGCGTCGACTGCTAGGTAAGGCGGGGAAATCAGTCCATGAGACTGAAATTACATTGACTAAGATGGTTAGGACATGTGTTACGTACGCCTAGTCATCGCCTTCCTCAACTAATGGGCAATGTTAGCTGATATAGGGTCAGGCTGGAAAAGAGCTGTAGCGGCGGTCAAACCAAAACATGGCTTCACCAGTCAATGAAATCTACAACAGTTAGTTTAAGCCACGTAGGAAGATGTAGACTTCCTGGTTGGGGTCCTCGGGATGACGGTAAAAACCAATGAAGGCTGGAAACAATTGGTGACATGGCTCAAAATCGTTCTCAGTGGCTGACTGGCGCAGATGCATCCACTCCTTGTGACTTACTTATGATTTCCAATGAAACTATATTGTTCTTCGTTATTACTATTCCTTTGTCTCACACCTCTGTTTACTGTCTATCTATTATGCATTTCTCCTACTTTCTTCTCTTCCTTTGTGTGCTACAAGGAGGGAGTGTGGCGACTTGAACTGCCGCACATATGTGCAAAGTTCTATGTCGAAAACCGACTTTTGTCTTCGCAATACTATCTATCCTACTTTTATATTTTCTGTTTCTCTTTGTCTCGTGTTTTTTAGGTTTTTGCAGAAGCATTTGGCTGGAAGTTGAGAACACCATTAGATCGTAAAGCTGGTGCTAGTGACAATAACTTGCATGACATTGCCTATAATGGATGTCCTTGTAGTAGTACACAACCACCACTACACAATCTGATTTCAACAACGAATTCAACAAATCCTCCTTCTGCTCCTCCTGCTCCATTCGAGGTGTTCTTCACTCGTGATCGAATTCACCTATTGTGTACGGCATTCCACTTGACACTGTTGGCTATGATTCGTACACTCAGTCGGTCATTTCATTGGCGTAGACAGGAAATGTTGAAATGGGCAGTCGCTATCGCCTTACATGTTGGTCCATTTGCCTGTTTATACCTGATCAATCATTGGTCATCGTATGTGAACGCTAGAGAGGCTGTTATTTGGCTTGCTCCAGCTATACTTACTGCAATGGGGAATTTAAATTCTAAGGTGTTGACGGTGGATCCATCGAATCCTTCTTCTTCTTCTCCTTTTCTAGAGGATGATATGTGTTTCGACCACTCGCTATTCTGTGGTAGTTCAAATTGCAATGGTGGATCCTCCTCGAATAATAATAATGCTGGTGGTGGTAATATTATTATGACTTCATCACTTGATGATGATAGAAACTGTTCAGCATGGTCATCCACTTGGCATTCATTTTGTCCAACGCTTCACTTCCAGGAATCATACAATTTCAATTTCGACAGCTGCTCAATTACTCGGCACAGCTATACCGTATTCTAAGGCTTCACGTGAACAAATTACAAATGCTGTCCGACATATGGCTATACAGGTGAGTTGATTCTATCAAGCGGATTGACGTCATGCTTTCTTTCTTTTCAGTTTAAGATTTGTTGGCTCCATATTAATTTGTTTATTAGATGAATGTATCACACACAGTCAGTGAGTGAAACGGTGTTGATATTTACTGGATGACAAAGTTGTTTCGAACACAATTCATCATCATTATTGCTGTTCATAATCATACACATCACCAATTATTATAATCACACGACTTCGAAACTTGAGTTTTATAGTCAGTCTTCTTTGTTCTCTCCTATTTGTCGTCGTCATCGGGGTAGTAGAGTTTCCCATATTTGTAGTTGATTCGATAAGCAATGCTTTCGTTGTTATCAATCTTCTCCACTCGCCACCCTGTTAGTTGTATTAGATTTTCAGACTGTCATCCTATGCCATCCAGCCTATTGTATGTTTGGGTGTGTGTGTGTAATTGCATGTAGTGCTTGCGATAGCTGCTGAACTATTCTCTAGATTTCTTATCTTATTCGGGTCAACCAATCTAGATTTCACTGCTAGGTTTTTATGTTCAGCTAGTCTGACTCACTGACTGACCCTGTTCTACTACTTTGACCTATGTATTTGACCTGACAATCATTCCAGCAGGCAGGGTATTAGATAAACTAAATTGTTTTGTTTTATTGGCTCCACAGAGTTGATCCTTTAACCGACAAAGCTTGTTTCTAATTTAGTTTGTGGTTGGTTTGAATGCCAGCAGCCACTTTTATTCCTGTCTGCCTTGTTAAGAATTCTCCGCTGTAAGGTCGTTTCCGAGGTTCCTTCCTTGTATGGAATTACTACTGTTGACTTAGATTCGTTATTGTTGGAGTTGTCTTGCGCATATTTGACATGCATGTCATCATTAATATTATTATTATCACTATCACTACTATCATTATTTATTTTATTTTTACATTTCCCTACATACTTTCTGACTAATTTATCAGGGTAATTATTAAGTTTCAAGGCTTCTCTTATATGTCTCACTTCCTGTCTTAGATTTTCCTTGGTACTACTTAGTTTTTGTGCTCTGTCACTTAAACATTTCACTAATCCTATTTTCACTGACATAGGATGGGATGATCCGATATCTGTTTGAATGTGTGGGTTTCCGGTAAACACACAATAGTGTGTGGATGACAAAGTTATTTCGAACACAATTCATCATTATTGCTGTTCATAATCATACACATCACCAATTATTATAATCACACAACTTCGAAACTTGAGTTTTATAGTCAGTCTTCTTTGTTCTCTCCTATTTGTCGTCGTCATTGGGGTAGTAGAATTTTCCAGATGTCCAGCTGTTGAATCATTCCTATTGCAGGCATGTATTTGCAGTTGATTCGATAAACAAAGCGTCCATTGTTATCAATCTTCCCCACTCGTCATCCTGTTGTATTCGTTTTTAAAACTGTCATCTTATCCCATCCAGCCTATTGTATGTTTGGGTGTGTGTGTGTGTGTAATTGCATGTAGTTCTTGCAATAGTAGCTGAACTATTCTCTAGATTTTTTTAATCTTATCTAGGTCAACCAATCTAGAATTTGCTGCTAGGTTTTTATGCTGCTCGGCTAGTCTGACTCACTGACTGACCCTGTTCTACTACTTTGACCTATGTATTTGACCTGACAATCATCCCAGCAGGCAGGGTATTAGATAAACTAAATTGTTTTGTCGGTTAAAGGCTCCACTGGCAGGATTGATCCTTTAACCGACATAGCTTGTTTCTAATTTAGTTTGTGGTTGGTTTGAATGCCAGCAGCCACTTTTATTCCTGCCAGCGCTGTTAAGAATTCTCCTCTGTAAGGTGGTTCCGAGGTTCTTTCCTTGTATGGAATTATTACTGCATTCTACAACACACACATATATATATATTTATGTATATATCCGATAGAATCTTCTTGCCTCCTTTTCAGAGGTAATTCTTTATTCTCCTCATTTTTGTGTGTTTCAACGTATTTGTTTTCCATTTGCGTTTTAAAGATTTTTTCTGTTTATCGATTAACTGATTAACTGTTGTGAAATGTGTACTTTAAAAATGGCCTGTCATTTAACATTGCTGTTAGCTAGCTAGCAAGCACCAGTCGTCCCTGTTGTGATGACGAAGTTGGAGTGGTGATTCATCACGTTCATCCGCCCGTAATTGTGTGTGTGTGTGTGTACGTGTGTACACGAAAACTCACTAACTCACTCAAGAATAATTAAACACATGTTGACAGTGTGTGGATACACACAGCACACACAAAGGGAGGGAGGGATATACAGTCATTAATATTGTTCTTTCTCTTCATCCTATTCACTTTTACTTTAACAAACAAACAAAGAAAGAAATGACCTTGACTAGTCTAGTCATTGTAACAATGACTGTCGTCATTATTTCTGCTATCATGTTATAATATCCATCCTTGCTTTGCTTTGCTTCCTTCCTTCGTGTGCGCATTATGCCTGTCGTGTTGTGTCGTGTCTTCAACACTTTGTGTAGTAGTAGTAGTATAGCCTGACATATATACTATACACTTAGCTGTGTAAATGGTTTTACTGAATACAAAGTCACCATAAGATGAGGAATTTAATTGAATTTTAGATTATTTTCCCGTCCATTGACGGATTGATTGATTGGACCGACTGAAGTGATCGTCGGTCTCAGGTGCTGACATGTCTGTTGGCTTCTTGTGCAGATATGCTTCAACGACGCGATGTCTGGGCATTTAATTTAATTAGAATTTAATTGGTGGATGGTGACTGACTAGCAGTAGTGGAATCCAGTCCAGGATAACGCGCATTTCACCCGTCCTATTTGCGACTCGTCAGTTAACTGGATATTTACCTGCATTCCCTGCACCGAGGCTCGAACCCAGTGCCGGCAAAGGATATCCTTTTCGATAAATTCCTCCTCCTCTTCTCGCTCTACAATTATATCTATATATGCATATGTTTATATACATAGAATATTCTAGATTAGTAGTCAATAACAATATTAGTGTTTTAGTGTTTTAAATAATATCGATTTGTAAAGTAAGATCACAATGGAATCACCACAGTTCATTAAAGATGCTTAAATTATAATAATAATAATAACGAAGATATAGTAACAAATAGAATATCAACTAAAATGAGGGAAATTCCACAAAACTTCAGGATCACTCAAGCCTCGCCTCTTCCTTGTGTGTGTATCTACCAATTTAACTGCTCCTGTGAAGTGAGCCAGTTACTTGCATAGGCCGTACAATTAGGCGTGTTTCTCGTGGAATTTCCGAAAATCACCCTGTGTAGTTAAGCAAAAGACAAACAAAATCTATTCACAGCACTATTCTATCTCACTCATCTTCTTGTGCATACAAAACACAAAACTGATTGATGTTAACAAGGCGGCTTTCAGGGTCATTTACCGAATACCAACTAACAAATCTCAATTTCGCCTTAAGACTTCGACTACTAAATACAATTCTGAGGCTGACTGGCCGTTGAGATCCATATTAACAAGCCTAATTTGTGCATCCAAAAGAGAAGTTGGTTGGTTCAGACATTATCCTTACCCGCTTGGCCATCTAGGTTTGAATGATCGATCCTGAATTTTTGTGGAATTTTCCTAATTTTAGTTGATATTCTATTTGCTACTATATCTTTATTATTATTATTTAAGCATCTTTAATGAACTGTGGTAATTCCATTGTGATCTTACTTTACAAATCGATATTATTTAAAACACAAAACACTAATATTGTTATTGACTACTAATCTAGAATATTCTATGTATATAAACATGCATGTAATATGATTGTAGAGCGAGAAGAGGAGGAGGAATTTATCGAAAAGAATATTCTTTGCTCGATTATTTCGTGTTTCATAGATGTCTGAATGAATATTTTCGCAATAAATCGTATTTCCAAGCTACCATGCCAGTCAATAAACTCTATATATATGGTCTAATGTGCCCCTTCTTTACTTTATTTAATTTTTAGGCTGCTGCTAAAGATCCCGTCAGTTGTTCTTTGCCTGCATTACATTTTTCTGAAGAAGATTCATCTGCATTTGAAACTGTTTATCGTCTTGTATTGGATGCCGCAGAGGCTGGTAGTATTGGACCTATCCAGTTGTTCTCACTAGCACGTTATATGGATAGTCATGGATGGGTATGGAGAGCATTTCCGTTAGCGCTACATGCCACGCGTTTATTTGTATTGTCATCAACTCAGGTAAGAAAACAGAAAAAAAGTTTTTATTTTCATTGTTAAATTTGTTTGTTTACTTGACTTGAAATTATGTTGTTTTTTTTTTGAATGAATTTTGATATTTTGAAAAGAATGGATAGTTACTGTGAACAAAGAATAAATAAATACTCTTTTCGATAACCCCTTCATCATCATCATCATCAGGCTCTGCAGTTATATATCCATCCATAATAGTCAATAATGAATGAAGGAATGAATTAGTGTTATGAACAACAACATGAATGTTGCTGTTTAAATAACATCGAATCAATAAAAATGATAACAATACCAATGGATTACAGTTCAATTGCATCAACATAACAATACACACTGAATGTCAGTTGATTTAGGAAAGATAATATTACAAATTCATGAATTTATAGTCCCCACCCACTGAAGGCCGGCCAGGGCAGTAGTAGTGGCTAGCTGGCTAGCTGAACTTGCTTCTTCTCCACACACAGAGCACTGGTTGTTTGAGGCGAATTGCAATAGCCTCTGCTGTTTGGAGCATTCGGTGCTTCGATGATGATTTATTGGCACCGGTAGATGATGAGAGAAGGATTCTTCAATGCTGGCTTTGTGGCCGGCCGCCGACCGGTTTGCACCAGATGGTCCTATATCGAACTGTTGATGATGGTTTTCACTACACACCTTTACTTAGCCATAGTGGGAATTTTATTAATAAATTTTTAAGGGAATTTGTGTGTGCAGTCGAATTTAAATCAGTGCGACGTCATGATTGCCGCTTCATCTTTTGTGATTTACGCAGCAGCAATATCCAGCGCCAACGGGAGGGATTTGAAAGAGGTTACTTCATTCACTTATCTAGCTAGGGAGCATTGTCTCAACTACAGGAGGAACGGACGAGGATGTCAAATCGAGAATCGGGAAGGCGAGAAACACATTCATCAACCTGAAACCAATCATCTGGAAATCTTCGTCACTCAGCAACACTCAACAACAAAATTCGGATTTTCAATACAAACGTCAAGTCAGTCAGTTCTTCTATACGGATGGATCAGAAACTTGGTGGCGGGTCACGAAGAATATTTCCAACAGCCTGTTGCAGACCTTTATCAACAACAACAACTGTCTTCGCTAGCATCATACTGAAGATCAGATGGCCGGAAAGAACAAGAATCACCAACAAGAAACTATGGGAACAAACAAACAAACGAAACAAGAAGCGATCGCCAAACAAATATGCAGGAGAAAGTGGAGATGGATTGGACACTCACTGGCTGAGGAGGCCGCTGCTGGTGACATTGCGAGTCAGGCCATCGCTCGAGTGGAACCCGAAAGGGAAGCGGCGAGTAGTGGGACGTCCAAGGGTGACTGACATGGAGGAGATCGTGTGAAGAAGAATTGAAACATTATGGACTAACATGGATGCAAGTGAAAAGTACAGCAGAAGACAGAAGCAAGTGGAGACGTGTAGTTGAAGCCCTATGTTCCACTAGGAACCCAACGGAACAATAAATAATAATAAATAATTATTATTATTTAGTTAGTTAGTTGCTTCATCACACACACACACGCACATTTGAAGTCATTTTATATCTTGTATTTATTTTTAATTTAATTTATTTTTTTTTCATTCATTCATTCATTATTATTAAACAACTTATAGGAAGGTCATCCTGTTGCCAATGATGTTCTCTGGGCATGTCTCCTAGGTCATCGACTTGGTCCAGTTGCATTACAAGAAATATTGAAAAATGTTATTCATAATATACATTGTCCAACTTTACTAACCGACATTCTACACAGATGTCGTACTATCCCATATGGAATGAATTCAATGCCTCCTCCTCCTCCTCCTCCGGTGAATTCTAATGTCAATCACCATCATCAACATTATCCGATCAATAATATTAATAATAATAACAATAATTTTTGTTATTGTTGTTGTAACAATATTAGTAGTAATAACATTAACATTGGCAACAATAGTAATGGCACTAATAATCACAATAATAGTAATAGTAATAATTATGTTCATTCGAGTACAATAGATCCATGTGTACTGATGAATAACACTCATCCAACTAATTCAATGCCCATTGGACGTAAGTTTACCGAGTGTTCTTTCTGATTTTTGTTGGTTTATTTTGGTTTTTTTTAATGTTACAAAAATTTCCCTATGCCTTTGGATGTGAGCGTGTTTAGCGGTTTATTTTAAGTGAAATACACCTACGCCCGACCGATAGCTAGCTGCTGCTACCTTGACGTGGTGGTGGTGGTGGTGGTCGGGCTTGCACATCGCGATGACCCAACAAGCTACACTTGCTGGAACTATTGTTGTTCCTGCAGGTCCTACCATACCAGGAAGGTTGTTAGAATGGAGATTAGACTATAAGCAGTTACTGGCATAGTGTAAGATTTCATTATTTACACTAAACTGGGGGGGGTCTGTGGGTGAAGTTGTACTGCTGGGGAACAGGGGTGTAACAGCAATGAGGTGTTTCCCTCTCTACTCTGGAGCCGAGGAGGAGGTTAGAAAAGGTCGACCCCAAAAACTGTAAATCCCGACTTACCTCACCTACGGTGGTCCGGAACCAGAGCGGTAAGTTTACTAATACGGAACCAAAGCAAGAAACCAGTTCATACAGACTGTGTGTGACCGGCCGGCCAGCCGGCCTCAAGCGGTTGTGTCCCCTGGCCTCTGCTATCACGCAACACTAATCCTGTTTCAGGTACCCGAAGAATCAATCAACTTCCATAGTGGTGTGGGGGGCAGCCGGGGAGTAACAACCACCCACACACACACTTCCAAAAGCATACGAAACCTTCCTGAGCTGAGCATCACTCTCCTCTACCCACATCACCTTGATCATCTTATTACCCCCCCCCCCTTATTATTCGAAAACTCTGTTAATCTAAAGTGTGTAAACGTAAAATAAAACGGCAAGCAAATTAAATTATAATCGTGAAGATTGCTTTACATAAATATGCTGTGAATAGTATTCACAAAAGTAACTTTCAGGCGAAATTTATTCAATGTCCAGGTCTAAGTAACTACACTGGACTTACCGCTGTCCTTAGAAGACCTTCAGCAGCAATTTGCAATAACCAAAACAGAACACAGATTGGATTGGTGAATCGAGAATCCTTTTTTCTTGCACCAATATGGAACCAACAATAAGTTTATTCAAATGTTGGTTTGTAGGGATTTGGTTGATTGGTTACAGGATTTTCATCATGAGCTGACATTAGTTAAGAAACATTGGAAAACCTGGGAGTGCTGGACAGCTGTTTCGTCCTAGTTTGGGACTCTTCAGCAGTATGCATCCACCGGGATTCGAACCCAGTAACTTCTGGTTACAAGGTGAGCTCGTATACCATTAAGCCACCCACTGGGGCCCATGATTCTAACCAATGCCAATTCACGACATAGCGCGACCCCTAGCCAATGTCTTCGGTGAGTATTTGTCCTCACACCCGACCTGCTGCACCCTATTTGATTTATTTATTTATTTATTATACACAAAAGTCTAAGAATAAATGTCATAACACATTAAAATCACAATAATACTTCTGATAGTATTTCTCTGTCTTCTAACGAACAGCGTACGATTAAAGGAACGATGACTGCAGTATCGTTGACTCCTGCCAAAAAAATATGGAGCTGCGGTTTGAGTAAACAACCATGAATTGATCGTTCATTCTTCAACTACATTGACACTCACTGACGACCAGCCAAAAAAAGGGATCCATCCCTATTTTTTTTCATCACAACCAATACACGTTGACTTGGATCCCAGTGGATGCGAGAACAACCTGGGCCAACAAGGACAAAGCTGAATATGGAAAACAAAACAAAACAAAGCCAACACACACTATACAGCCGCGCATACCCATAGCACAATCTCACTCGTCGTCGACGACGAACTACGCCTTTCAGTGAAAGGACATCCTTTTGACCTCTTGCAATACAATCGCCACTTGCTAGAACAACTCTTGCAGAAAACAACATGACCCCATAGCAGCACCTCATGTGATATACTCTCTTCGCACATCCTTTTATCTATTCAGTACTAATTACCACTGCTATCACTTGTCACTCATTCTGTCTCACTCGTAGTAACGGTGACGCATGTGTAAGCCTCAGTCGTCGTCGTCGTCTACACTCTCGCTCCCCCAGTGTGTGTGGGATCACAGCCTAAATCGAAACATTCATTCATCAATCATTGATTTCACAGCTAATACTTGTCTATGTGTGCATGTCATTCTCAGCACTAGCAGCTCCCTCCCCCAGCGTATCAAATCGCCTACACTGACTCCAACACTACTCGATTCGTTGACAAGTTTGAAAGACTAGAAACAACCTCAGAAGTTATTATATGATGAGGATACACAGGGGCGAAGTGGTGTGTCCTATGTGAAGCGAGAGAAATTAGAAAGCTTGACTGCCTAATTCTCTGCTATCTTTCAGGTTTTTGAAGGCTTTTCTCTTTGAAAACAATGCCAGTGTGAAGAAAATTCTAATTCTCTCAAAGAAAGGAAGAAAACACAGCAGTGATGATACATTCAGAAGTATTCACGAATTCCACTTTTTAGAAGAAGACTGTCAGCTGGATAATGAACCAGTGGAATCATTTATGGCGCTAAATCACGAATTGGTAAAAGTTAGAATTCATGGACTCGCTGGTCATTGAGGAATCGGGTCCCAGTGGCTGAATGGTATACGAGCCAGCTAGCTTGTCTTGTAACCGGAAGGTCCTGGGTTCGAACCCTATATGGTGGGTGCGTACTACCGTTGATCACCAAACTAGGATGAAACAGCAGCTGTCCAGTACTCCCTGGTTTTCAATGATTCTCTAACTGATATATCAATCCGTAATGAACTCGTAAAAACATAAATAACCCTTACAAACCAAACAATAGAAAATTAATCTGATGCTCGCTAGTGACTTGCTACAGGATGGAGTTTCCTGGAGTGAGTTGTAGTGAGAAGTTGTGACCAGTGATGTCTATCGAGATGTCACTTGTGAGGATGGGTGGATGTCCCACCGACGACATTGGTTGGTGCCAGTCGCACTAAATACATCACGAATCGTTAGAAGTTAGAATTCATGGGTTGGCTGGCCATTGAATCGGGTGGGTCCTAGTGAGTGGTGGCTGAATGGTATACGAGGCAGCTAGCTTGCCTTGTAACCGGAAGGTTATGGGTTCGAACCTTGGTGGTGGGTGCGTACTACCGATGAGTCATAAACTAGAACGAAGAAAACAGCTGTCCAGTACTACTGTAACGACAGAAGACAAGGGCCAGTCAGGCAACAGATCGTTTATTAAGGAAAATCAACACATATTTATAGATTTTAATGTACATTCATCATTGTAGATTATTGTTTGCAGAAAATACAGTCTTTTGATTGGTGGTTGTTTCTCACAGAAAGTTCACCTTGCATCTCTTTGTGGCTGTGTGTGTCAGATCATCCATATGCTAACTGTATCCGCCCGCCTACACAAAGACTTTGTTCTCATTTTCTCACCACCACCAATATTGGGGACATAAACATTGACGTAAATTACTGTGTCTACCAACTTTGGCTAGCAGCCAGCTCTCACCACACTCCAGTGCTGGTTTTCAATGGTTCTCTAACTGATATATCCATCCGTGATCAACTGGTAAAAATACAACTAACCCTTACAAATCAAACTATAGAGAATAAAGAAACTTTATATTTCATTGCATACTCTCTGTTTCAATTAATTGACGCATTATCTTATCTTATCTTACTATTTGTTTCTCTTTTAGGCAATCCGTGTACAACACACTTTTGCAACGCATCACACTACATCAACAACACAACAACAACAATAATAATAATGCTAATCACAACAGCAGTGCAGTAGGTGTTCCAGTAGGAGTAGGAGTAGCAGTAGGTCCAAGCAAATTGTTAACTCTGGATCGACCACCATTGAAAGGATTACTTGACGCAGCATTGAATGCATTCATCAAGGCGACGCATACAAGATTGGCAAATATTAGTCCACGTCAGTACTCGGAATTTGTTGACTTTCTAACCCGTGCCAGGGATACATTTCATCTACTGCGACCTGATGGTCCCTTACAATTCCGACATTGGGTTGAATATCTTCGACAAACTTATCGAGGGAAACGGAAATTGGTGTCATTGCTGTCTGAAAGATTCGATTGATTATCTCAGCTTATCTTCTTCTTCTTGTATTTGTATGATCAAGTTATCAATCAAGTGAGAACGAAGTGTTAGTGTATATATATATATATATATTTATACGGTAATAATTGTGATTTTGTTATTTCGTTGTAATAACTACTCGCCATCCAGCCAGTCAGTCAGCCAGCCAGCCTCCTTACGAATAAGAAAGACATTTGGCTGTGTAACGTTGACTGTGTGGGTGGGTTGGTGAGTAGGTAGGTAGTTAGTTGGGTAGTTAGGCATGTGAACTTGTGAACAGGGGCGACATAGTGAAGAAGAAGAAGTGAATTGAAGAGAAGGGAGGATGGGGTGACAGTGGCTTAATGCTGGGTGGGTAGGTAGGTAGGTAGGTGTACGAGGTTGCGTTGTTACGAAAGGTGGTGGGTTGGATGGAAGGCTGACGATGTGTGACGTGCTAATGAAGAGTGTCAAACTAGGCTGACGAAACAGCTGCTGTCTGGCAGTACTCCGAGGTGTTCAAATGGTTCTCTCAGTGATATCAATCTGTGATTAACTTGGTAAACGAAGACGATGTGTGCTTTAGGAAACTTACTCAATTGGAAGGCTTACGAAACAGCTGTCTAGCATTACTCCCAGGTGTTTCAATGCTTCTATAACTGATGTGTGTCAGCTCATGACGCCTACAAAAGAAACCAATACTTGAATTAGGTAGAGTGAGCAATACTGGAGTGTTTGAATGCTGTAATCAGTGTGCAAATATCTGGTCAGTGTCTTAGTCAGTCAGTGAGTTGGCAAACAGTGTTTCCCTTTTTGATTTTACTGCGAGGGTAACTGAGTTATTATTATTATTTTTATCAGTTATACAACATATAAGCAGAAGGCGGCTTATTCATGGAAGAAGAAGAGAAGAATTAACGCTGCATCACCTCACCTCCGACCGCCCACCTGCCTGACTGGATGTACACTCTGAAAGAGTGGAGGTGATTTTGATGTGGCTGCGTTGTTTCCTGAGCCAGCTACCTAGCTAGCTGGGTGGGTGGATGGGGATGGTCTAATTTCGAAGCATTGATTGTCCCCCTTGTGTGTCGACAACATCTTCAGCTCAGCTCATCTCAGCTCAGCTGAAACTTTAACAATATCAAGCAGTGTGGGGACTCATCTGAATTCGCTGTATGAGAATGATAATAACAGTGAGGAAGACAATATAAAGAAAGCGTGACAATTTCAATCCCACATAGTTAGTGCACACATTTTTTTTAAAAATAATTATGTCTAGTTACGAGTTTTATACTCGACAGTAGTAACTAAGTCAGATAGATAGATACCTTAGGTGCATAAAAAAGTGGTGTTATTCAGTCCTTGAATTTCCACCGGTTGAAGATGTATGTGTTAAGGAATAACCGCCTTCGTTGCTTAACTAAGCAGCGGGAATCTGTGTGTGATATTCCCCCTGTTATATTTAAGTTGTATGATTCGCGCACCGCCTTTGTTACTAAATGTTACTCTCTGTAGGAGGCAGAGAGGCAGACTTGAACGTTTGTGTAGTCAGTGCAGTAGTAGCATTTAACTATTATATAACACAGTCAGGGTGGAAGTGTGTCAGTTGTGGATGAATGAGATACCGAAGAGAGTTGTCTACTTGATGGATTATTATTATTCTTATTATTGTTTCCTTTAATTCCTAGAGGAACATAGGGCTTATTCAGCTGTGCACGTCTCCATTGCGTGCGGTTCTCTGCTAGAGTATTCACCTGGCTCCAAGTCTGCCATCACACACGTTTTCATCTCCTCCTCTTCACATGACCTACTCCTCCAAGTCCTCCATGTCACCCTCGCACTGACGACCAACTCGCTGCTTCCCATTCAGTCGGGTTCCACTCGAGCAATGGCTTGTCTAGCGATGTCACTCACTTGATGGTTTGTTTCCTCAGAGTATGGCCACAATCCAATCCACCTCCATTTCTTCCTGCCTATTTGTTTCACAATCGGTTCCTGCTGTGTTGGTTCGCTCATTGCTGATCTTTTCTGGCCAACCGGCCATCTGATCTTGAGTGGTATTGAGCGAAGACAACTAGCTGTTAATGAAGGTCTGTAGTTTGTTTGAGATGCTCTTTATGACGCGCTGGCCAAGTCTCTGATCCGTATAGTGAGTAGCACTGACTGACTTCACATTGGAGTTGAAAATCCGGATCTTATTTTTGATGCTGAGTGCTGTTGACAATGGTTCCGCCTGTACTTGAAACGATGCTTCCCAGGTAGGCAGGTGAAGCAGGTTGTTTCTTTCAGGTTCCTCCCATTTATGCTGATCGTTGTCTGTTGTTGTTGTTCTTGTCCAGGAATCTTCATCACCTTTGTTTTCTCTATGTTCACCTGAAGTCCTATATCTGATGTTTCTTCTGCCAACTTGTTGCTTTTCGCTTGCAAATCTTCCAGTTTGTGGGAAATCAGACATATATCACATCGGCGAAGTCCAGATCCTCCAAGTTCTTTCTCGGTGTGGGACCATTTTATGCTTGTTTCCTCATTGCCCACTTGATGGATGGATGAGACAGTAAACAACGCAGTGCAGTGCAATGTGTGTAGTTAGTTATTGGCTAATCACAATCTATGCGTGTTTTCTTGAGAAGACTGGTCTCTCTTTTGTAAATTTCAGCGTAATACTGTGTGTGTATGTGTGAACACAATTCCGCGGAATAGGATAGAATTGTGTATGTATGTATGTATGTGTCAGGCTAAGCGGCGTCACACTTATATCTCGTGGTGATGCATGCATGCATCAGTCCGACGGGCTGAATTAGTTAGTTCGAGTGTGGGAGAACTCGAAGGTATTGTGGTGAGTGAGATCTGGCTGTAAGCCCCAACCATTGTAGACAACAATTTTTACATCGATGTGTTCACGTCCCGAATCATCCGGGTGATGTGATGAGAAGATTAAGAAAAGATTAACAAAGCTGAAAACGTTGAGAAAATCACCCCAGCCAGCCAGCCAGCCCATCCACATCACATAGCGGAGTTAGCGTGTGGAAGTAGGATTCGCAGATATATGTGTATCTATATGGCTTGATTTTGTGAGAAACAGCCACAAAGAGAGATAAGAGAATAATCTTCAGCAAAAAAGAAAAATCAATCAATCAGAAGAGGTGTTGCTTCTCCGCTAACAACAATAATAATGTTGTACATAAATATCCACAAATACCTGTTGATTTTGTCGATAAACGATCTGTGTTGCCTGGCCCTTGTCTCCTGGCCTTCTGGTCTTCTTTTGTCGTTACACTATCTATTGATGACCACTTGGACTGAAAGTGGAGGAGTTCCCTGAACAAATGAACCACACACACACATCTTCTCCTGCTTGGGGTGGGGTGTGCAGGCTGGCTGCCAAGCAGGTTAGCAGCTGAAAGTATTCAAAATCGACAGCATCATCACTACTGCTACTCTGTGTCTGACTATGTGATGATTGTGTTATCGTTTTTGTGTATAGTTTGCATGCATGCAGACCTCTTCGACACCACCACCACCACGTCTTTGGTATGATGGTTGACTGACGGACTGACAAGTCTGACTGACTGACTATACCCGCGTGTGTTTTTGTGTCCTCGCCTTTTCTTATCCCTGAATCAATCAAGCATGTTTAATGACTAACTAACTAACTTCTACTGGAGAAGGTGTGGAAATAAGAAGGCAAAGTACCCGAGGACTGTTGGAAGCAAGGAAGGATACTTATTCAAACTACTAAAGAGAGGAAGGAGACTTATTAAGTCAATGCAAGAACTGACGCGCGGAATTATGCTCCTGTCCATCCATCCATCCCAAGCAAAATACTAAGCTGCATCATCCTGCTGGAGAGAGAATCAAACATGCCCAGGCTGGATGAAAAACTTCGACCGGAACAGGCTGGCTAGATTTGGGGGAAACAACAAGTCACGCATTGATAAGATCGCCACAAAATTACGGATCACCATTGAACAAAGCTTGCTTGGAATAGCAGTCACCTCTCTATCTCGCTCAACTTCATCGACTTTGAAAAGGCCTTCGATAGTGCGGAGTTGATCGAGAGGTGATTTGGAAACTACTACGCTACTATGGGGTGCCACCGACAATTATACATCTCATCCAACACTTAGTTGTACGACAATGCTGCATGCCAAGTAATCCACAACGGGAAACTTACGGAATCCTTCTAAGAAGTGAGGACAGGAGTAAGACAAGCTGGCTGGCTGCCTACTATCGCCAATGATCTTCCTGATTGCGGGCGGTAGACTGGATAATGCGACAGACAGTGGCGGGCAATGAGGAAACAGGCATAAAATGGACTCACACAAAAAGAGACTTGGAGGATCTGGACTTCGCCGATGTGATATATGTCTGATTTCCCACAAACTGGAGGATATGCAAGCGAAAAGCAACAAGTTGGCAGAAGAAGCATCCAGAGAAGATAGGACTTCAGGTGAACATAGAGAAAACAGAGGTGATGAAGATTCCTGGACAAGAACAACAATAACAGAGGACGATCAGCATAAACGGGAGGAACCTGAAAGAAACAACCTCCTTCACCTACCCACCTACCTGGGAAGCATCGTTTCAACTTCTGGCGGACGGAACTGACGAGGATATCAAAGCAAGGATCATCGGAAAAGCAAGACAAGCTTCCAATACTCTCAAGTCTGTGTGGAGGTAAACAGCACTACTCAGCATCAAAAATAAGATCCGGATTTTCAACTCCAATGTGAAGTCAGTCAGTGCTACTTACTATACGGATCAGAGACTTGGCCAGCGCGTCATAAAGAGCATCTCAAACAAACTACAGACCTTCATTAACAGTTGTCTTCGCTCAATACCACTCAAGATCAGACGGCCGACTGGCCAGAAAAGATCAGCAACAGGGAGGGATCTCTGGCAATGAGTGAACCAACACAGCAGGAACCGATTGTGAAACAAATAGGCAGGAAGAAATGGAGATGGATTGGATTGGCTGGCCATACTCTGAGGAAACAAACCATCAAGTGAGTGACATCGCTAGACAAGCCATTGCTCGAGTGGAACCCGACTGAATGGGAAGCGGCGAGTTGGTCATCGGTGTGGGGGTGAGGGTGACTTGGAAGAGTAGGTCATGTGAAAAGGGGATGAAAATGTGTGCGCAGAGTTATTTGGAGGCAGGTGAAGACTCTAGCAGAGGACCGAACGCAATGGAGACGTGCACGGTTGAAGAAGCCCTTTGTTCCTCTAGGAAAATTAAAGGAAACAATAATAATAATAAATAATAACTCTTCAGGTATGTTTTTTTTTCGAGGAGAATTTCAATTGTGTGTTCACATTGTACCCATAAACACTTTGTTGTTGTTAAAAATGAACAAGAATTGTCCACTTTATAATGAATTGTGTTTCTTTTTTTGTTTTTTGCAGATCTCTTATCCTCTATCTCCTGGAAGAACACATCACATCACAGAAACATCAAACACACACCCGCATGTGAGTGAATGAGAATCAAAATTACACCACCACCCCCAACCCACCGCCGCCCGAATAACGCGACAGCAAGCACCTTCATCATCATCACGAGTGCTACCTACTTTAAATATAAGGAATTCGAAGAGACACACGCACACACAAACACACACACAAGTGAACCGTTTCTCCCCTCTTTTTCCTTTTGCCTGATATTTGTATGAAAGAATGAGAATGAGAAATATATACATATGCCTATATATTATATATATATTCATATTTCATGTGGAATACCAAGAGTCTTTTTTCCTTCTTGTATATTCTATATGCTGCTAACTGTTGTCAACGCTAAGAGAGAACGTTAGTGTGTGGTGTGGTGATGATGACGATGTGTGTGCGCGTGTGTGCGTGTACACACGAGCGCTAGCCAACTGGTGGTGGTGAGCTAGTCAGTCAGCTAGCTATCTGTATATTCTGTCTATCTATCTATCTATCTATCTGGTGAATTCGCTTTACACTTTCACACACGAAATGACGTTAGGCCATGAGTGTCACTGGTTGGTTGGTTGGCTATGAGAAAGACGTGGAGACGAAATGCTGCAGCATGAAAAGGTTATATTTACTACAACTAGTGGTAGAGCACGTTGACTGACTGACCGCTTCGCTTGTTTGGGAAGTACCATCATCAGCCCCAAAAGCCAACGGGTTGATCTCTGACGAAATCTCATCTCAGCTGAGTACGGATACACAGAGGGCTGGCTGGCTAGTTTCGCATACGCCCGCCAGTTTACGCCGTCTCTGGCTTAGTAGACATGATATCCGCCTGACTGGCTGCTGTCGGCCAAAGAGCGGGTGTACTGCTCATCAGTCCGCTCCGTCCCCTCCTTTATGGCTGGGTGTGAGACCTGGCCATTGAGATTGGAAGACATGAAAAGGCTGGCTAGCTAGCCCCCGTCTTCGATGATAGTTGCCTGCGTTCTATTTCCCGTGTGAAGTGGTGGTATAATGAGGTGAGCGATATTGAGGTTAGGCGTCAGTCGAGTGCTGGGTGTTCTAAGTGTTATCAATCTGTGATCAACTCGTTATTCTAAGATAGTATAGCTTAGGATATTTACCCATATTCGGTCCCCACTGCATCCAATTTTAGACATCTCAGGTTCCCCAAACCACTAAGTTGTGAAATGGTAAGCTGATGTTTTAGAAGCTGTCAGAAAACAGATGTGCCACCATTCTCTTTTCGTGATACTTTTCAACTTTTCGTCGACTATATACAAGATATCAAGGTGGCGAATAAAGTCTGCTCTCTCTCTCTCTCTCTTGACACTCAATCGCTATTTGCCAACCTTCCTCACACTGAAACTGTTTGTCATGTCTGTCAATATATATAGACGAGAAGTAGATCAACATTGAATCACGAACTGTTTGTTTAATGGAATGAAATACTTAATCCGACCGATATACATTCGACGTGATGGTGGTGGTCGGGCTTGCATATTTCAATCGCCCAACAAGATACACTGGCTGGAACTATCGTTCCTGCCTAGGATGCCAGGAAGATTGTTAGGACAGTGATTATACTAAAAGCAGTTACCGGCATAGTGCAAAATTTCATTTTTTTTCTACACTATGCTGGGGGTCTGAGGGCGAAGTCGTACTACTGGGGAACAGAGGTGTAACATCAGTGAGGTATTTTTGCCTCAGATGACCAGCGTGCCAGCCAGCTATGCTGTCTCTCCACTCTGCTGGAGAGAGGGGGTTAGAAAAGGTCGAGCCCAAAAACTGTACATCCCGACTTAACCAACGATGGTCCGTAACCGGTGGGAAGTTACTAATACGGAACTAAACCAAGAAACCGGCCGTGTGTGACCGCCCGGCCGGCCTCAAGTGGTTGTCCCCTGAGCTCTGCTGTCACGCAAACCTAACTCTCTTTCACGTACCCCTGTGATAATCACAGGAAGAACAGTTCGAATAACATGGTATCTAAAGTTTAAGGTTCAATAATATTGCTCGGGAAGAACGAACACGAGAGAACCAGGTAAGCTTTAGACCAGGAAGAGGGTGCATTGATCATATCCTCAAACTTCGACACATTCTGGAACATAGGCATACTTACCGTAAGCATTCAACAATCGTCATATTTCTTGATCTGAAGGCGGAATTCGATTCTGTCGACCGACGGGTACTATGGCGATGTTTGTTTGTGAAGGGAATATCGAGAAAATGCATTGCACTGATCAAGCCATGCACTCTACTCGAACTCATGCAGTCAGCCAGATGACAGCTTACGGAGAGTTGTCATCTGAAGTGGTGACAACCAGTGGTGTCCGTCAGGGATGCCCATTATACCCATTTCTATTCAATTTCATCATAGATGTACTAATGGATTTAACCCTAACTCACTTGAGAGACTCAGGGATTGACTTGCTACCAGGGATGGAATAATCTCGTTGACTTACAATATGCAGATGATATAGTTCTGACTCCTAGGTGAAGACGCTGACAAAATGCAGATACGATCTTCTGAACACCTTGAGGAGTAACAATCTTCGAATGTTTGTCAGGCGATTCGCTGCTCGTGCTGCTGTCAAATGTAAGATGATGCTACATGACCGGACTATATTGACTGACTCCTAACTTGAAGATAGGGAGTGAAATGGTTGGTGGGGCGTGTTGACCACTTGCCTTATTTGGGAAGTTGTACCAGTCAACGGAAGTCGGTTAGGGTCGTTGACGAAATCTCAGCACGGATGCAGAAGGTTCGTTTGGCATATGCCTGGCAACTTACGTTACCTCTGGCTTAGTAGACGTCATATTCGGCTGGCTGGCTGTCGACCAAAGTGCGTGTGTACTGCTCAGCAGTTTGCTACGTCCTCCTCTATCGCTGGCTATGAGACATGGCCATTGAAAGTGGAGGTCATGAAAACGCTGGCTAGCTGTCTTTGCTAATAGGTGCCTGCCTGCGTCCTATCTCCCATGTGAAGTGGTACAATAGGGTGAGTGCTAGGTAAGGAGGAGATGAAAGAAAATCGACGAGGTGTTTGTGAAGCAGTTATGCAACAACAGAAGACAAGGGCCAGGCAACAGATCGTTTATTTAGGAAAAACAACACATATTTATAGATTTTAATGTACATTATTGTTAGTAGAAAATACAGTATTTTGATTGGTTGTTTCTCACAGAAAGTTAACCTTGCATCTCTTTGTGGCTGTGTCAGATCATCCATATGCTAACTGTATCCGCCTACGGAAAGCCTTTGTTCTCATTTTCTCACCATCAACCAATATTGGGGACATAAACATTGACGTCAATTACTGTCTACCAACTTTGGCTAGCAGCCAGCTCTCACCACAGTTACACCTATTGAGATGGTTAGAACATGTCTTACGCATGCCTAGCCTTCCATCGACTTCCTCGACAATGGGTAATGTTATCTGATATATGTACGGTCTGGTTAGAAAAGGGCTAGTGGTGGTCAAACCAAAACGGGGCTTCACCAGTCAATAAAATCCACAACAGTTAGTTGAAGCCATCCAAATAAGGAAGTGGAGACTGCTGTCTGTTTGGGGTTCTTGGGAGGTTAAAAAGCAATGAGACTATGACGCTCTGACAATATGCTTGCTAATGAACAAAGGTTTGTTAAAAAGAAATTGTACACTATTTATTTTTCATAACAAAAATTCAGGTTGTACACCGCTGATGAGAACCAACGAAATAAAATGGATCCAGCTTATTCTGCGCCAATGTTTCTCTTCTCTCTTTGTTCAAATTTATAAAAGGGACTCATTGTATGGAATTAAAAGAAGCTCCATCCATCCATAGGAAACTCACATAGACCGGCCAAATGACAAGGGATAATGTACATTCAGAAATAATAATAATAATATGAGTGTTATTCATCAATTACAATCAGATGGGAAATAAGACGAGTGTTTTGTTTATAGTCATAATAAGTCACTTGGCAGCATGTTGTGATGTGCTTGAATTGAAATAGAATTTTGAGATTATTTATTATCCTCTTCTAATTTGACTGGTGGTAATAATATCTTCCATATTTCTGGTATTCGCATTGAGTCATTTCTGTTGCATGTGTTGTGTGTAGGTAGACTCGATGAACCAGCCAGGATTCAGAAATCAACCTCTCTCTCTCTCCACCTACCTAGATTACTTCTCAGAATTTTAACCCTCTCCCAGCATGCCGTTGTGTGTTAATGTATGCGGTGCAGTATAGTGCTGAGCTTTTTTCTAAATTACTTATCTTCTCGGGGTCAACCATTCTTATGTTCCGACAATCTGATTACCCCTGACCTACTAGTTTGACCTATATAGTTGACCTAATTATATATATATATATATATATATATATATATATATATATATATATATATATATATTATTTCGTCTAATTGGGTCAACGTATAGGGTCATTTAGGCTGCAGAGCTTGTCCTACCTGAGTGAGTGTGTAGGTTTGAATGCCACCACCCTAATTCCTGCTTTGTTATTAAGAATCCTAAGTAGTGAGAGTCTCAGATGTCCCCTCCTTATATAGTATAACGTTAGATGACTTATATTCTCTCTTATTTATGATATCATTACTAGTTTCCCTACTATTTTTATTTTACTTTTGGCCTTTTTCGATCTTCCTAATGAATTTTATAGGATAGTTAGTTATTTGACACCGACACTTCTTCTGTCTGTCTGTTTTATTTCATCAATTAGGTCTTTTCTTGTACTACTTAGGGCTACTGTTCGGTTTATTAGACACTTAACTGAACTAAGCCTGTCTTAACAGACAGTTAATGGATGAGACGGATTAAAGTCTAAATATCTATTAGCAGAACGTGTCGGTTTTTTATAATTCCCTATTTCCCTTCGTTTCCATGTGCATGCTAATCACATCTCATTGATTAAATTAATTATTCATCGTGTTACTTAAACTCAACACAATTTGTAGATGGTGACTAGCAGTGGAATCCAGTTCAGGACAACGCGCATTTCCTCCTGTTTGGGTGGGACTCGTTAGCTAACTG